CTTCCAAGAAGAAGATAAATAAGTAAATCTAAAATGCTTTCCACAGAAAAAGTAATTTTAAAATTGATTGAAAAGTACTACCTATTCTACATCTGCTTTGAATTTTCTCCCTTGTGTATAGAGCGAAAATATTTCCAGGAAGTTCGTTTTCACTAAAATCATACTCTGGAATAATTGCAAAAAAGGTGAACATAGCAAACATAAACTTCTTTTTCATGTCAACCGTAGTTGAATTAATGATTATGTCAGTTTGTCTATAGATTCTTTGCTTTGTAGTCGCTCAAATAGTTTTGATATCAAAGTCTTTCACCGATGCTATTCTGTATGTTTACAAATATTTGACGATGTATTTTTTCATTGTACTCAGCACGACTCAGCATATCAGTTTTTCCTATAAAAGCTCAATGAGAATGATGCTTGTCATCAATTTCTTAGAACATAAATGTACATCAACTTTATAAACGAACACTTTGAATGACTCTAAAAAGATGAAATCAAAAAGAATTGTTGTACAACTGTTTATTTATTCGTTGAAAATACCATGTATCGATAGAAAAAGAACGAAAATTGTCTTTTTAATGCAGTCAAAACTGTTTGATTCACTGAAAATCAACATCAACAAACTAGAATTATTGAATTTTTATAAATAAGAAAAAAAAAAGAATCGCTCATACATTTTAAATGGCGATTTAATGAACTAAATTGTAGCAGACAGTGAAGTCAACTAGTTGCAGAGCATATCGCCTGTAGTAAATATATTGCAGATAGCACATAAAATAAATAAATGCCGGAGAAAACACGTAATTAGTATTGCTTCATTGGTTGCACACAAATACATCGTATATTATACAAAATTGCGTCCTGCATACAGACATTTTGATGCTGCAGATATAAAAAAAAGTTTGACTTGGTCCTATAGGACACTATAGTGTTCGACGTCTATTTTCATGTTTGCTGTTGCAGATGCTGTTGTTGGCTGCTATTTCATTTTGGATTTTGTTGCTTTAGTGCAAGCTAATTTGAAACGTGAGCAATTTTATTTGGTCAAAATGTCAACGCAATAAACCGCAAGCACGAAAAATATTACTTTATCGAGAATTCGTAGCGCGCGATTGGTCAATAGTTTCTCTTCATGATGAGTACGGAATTTCTTTTTGTGTGATTTCATTGAAATGCTGACCAATCGATTATGTTACATGGCAATAATAATGATTTTACCTCGGTAAATATTTGTCGGTTTGTGTCATTTATTTGGTTTAGTTTTTTTGTTGGAACTCATCACTATTCGAGACGTTTCATCGATTGCAATAAACGACAACATGTTTTGGCATAATTGTTTCTTCATTTTTGGCTTATTTTTTGGAAATGCTGTTTTTTGCTCTCTCTCTCTCTCTTTTTCGCATCAGTTTTGATGAAGTATTATTTTGTTGAAATTTTTCTACCATCAATGCCTGGAAATTTCAAAGATTTATATGTTCTGTCGAGTGTTTCGATGGTGATATAAAAAAAACGTAAAGAGGATATGGAATGAATGGTAAAAAAATATTTCATCATGGATTTTCCACAGCATGTCCAGCATATTCCATTATTGTAAAATACCCTCCATTTTCTTTGATAGCCGATTGTTACAGAAAAAGTGATTCAATGCATGAACATAGATCTATGGACTTCAAACTCAATCAAATTTGTTTGCACTGAAACTCAACCGATTTTTTTCCTTCTTCCGAGCGTTTTTTCCTAGGTTTTTTCTCTTCTTCCCGTATCGTCATATTTTTCATTGAAAATATATTTCTCATCATTTTCCTTGTAAAGATGCTTTCATTCCGGACTTTATCCTCTCAACATATGCACACGACGTATTTCTGTCACTGGAGCATGTTAAAAGAGAGAAAAAAAGAAAACTTTATGGAGATAAAATAAACAATAATGCTTGCAAGTTGCTACTCTGTTTTCCATTTATGTAATGATTTGTGTGTGTGTGTGTGTCTATGCACTCAGGCAAAAATAGCAGTAACAGCAGTGGCACCATGACTCATATTCTATCAATTTATTGCATACAGTCTCGGTAAAGTCGAAAAATATTGTGTTTGACGTTGATATTGTTGGTTCGATCGCAAGCTGCCATTGTTGACTTTCTCGATTATAATGTGAAAAAACTGATATTGTCGTGCTCAACTCAATGTTCCACTCTACCACCAACCATGAAGCATAATCTCAGATATTTCAAATCAAACTCAAAACTCTGGAGCAAAAAAATAGATGTTTTATAACAACAAAATCAAAGTAATTTTGCCTTTTTTCTGCTTCGCTCTTTTAAAAGCGCACGTCTACCACAGCAAAAAAAAATGTCACCGTAATTATTTTATTTTATGTGGCAAAAGTTTTTCCGCTTATTTTAAAATGAATACAGTTCAATCGAGTGAATTGCCAATGGCAACTCTTGGCACACTCAATGCATCAATTATTGTACAATCCATTCGATTTCATTACACCATTCAACTTTATATTTTAATTATTAATATTGTCATTGTGTTTCCATTTAATTACACATTTATCGGTTCGAATTTTCTTGTAATGAAACCGCTCGCTCTACATGAGTTCAATTCAACGATCCAATTGACTAATTAAATGACCATATCTTTAAATGAATTTACACTTATGAAATTTGGGGAATATGATAAAAAAAATAATATAAAATTACAAGGACGCTCGAACACGTATTGGTGATCACATGTTCGGGCAAAATCGAAATTACTTTATAACATCAATTCTACTTCTTTGTAGCTAATTTTATCGCATGATTTTATTAGCAGTCGAATTTGTGCATGTGCAAGTGTCATTGATGCTTCGTTTGTTAAATGCTATTACAATTTTCATTAAAAATGCATGCATCCAGTAAAGATAGATTGGTTGTCAACGTGACCTCCAGTTATAGTCACAGAGGCGAAAATTTTCTTCTAAATTCCATTAAAACAACAAACTAATAAGTTGATAGTGATGCCATCAAATGGAAACGATTTCAGTGCATAATGTAACCAAACTGCACTACACACACTCAACTCGCGGTATCGAGAACTGGAACAATTTCACACTTTCAAATTGCACTCATTAGCATTATAACGACGCTGAAACTGATTGGAACACCACGCATCGAAACTTCTTCGTTGATGCAATATTGAAGAAAATGTTAAATTGGAAAAATATCAAGTTAGAACAAGTGCATGCTCATTTTGCGTCAACATGTAAATTCAATTATTGAGCACGGAGTTTGTGGAATTGACTATTCGAGGCCAAATTTATGGATGCAAATCACAATTTTATCGGAATTGAAATAGACACTCTTCAACTGATGTCAACATATCTGTTTCAGTGCCCGAGCTGATATACATATCTGGATGACAATATCCAAATATATTTTCTGGTTAACGATGGAAAAATGATATGTAAAAAAACTAATTCTCTGTCTCTTTTAAAAAGTACATTAAACTTTATTACAAGTTCTATATTTTCTTAAATAGATTCCAGGCGGTGAGTGATAATAAACAAGAGATATCCATTTAAAAATATTTATTACCTATTGTGGTGCATTGATTTTGTGGTTTCGGATTTTTATAATTACGAGCAAACTTCGACGACAACATATTAGTAGAGTCAATAAAAAGTGAATATTTTTTATGTAAATATTCTGTGGAGTATAGTCAAGTATTCAATTTAATTTAAAGTGGAACTTTGCGAGTGTGTATTATCTGTGTCGATTCCCTTCTAAAATATCTCCAAAATGCTTTGCAATGCTTTGTGGCAGTAGTGAAATCTCATGTAAAATGAAGAAGAAAGTTTTGAATCCATAATTAAACAAAAACACGTCAGTAAAATTCAATTAGAAAATGGAACGATCTGTTCTCATCGTTGCACAGATTAGTAACAACGCTGGTGCTATGTAAGCAGTCTCTATCTTTTTCGTCCATTTGTTTGCTGATGTTTGAGAACAGTTTCGTGGAGTAAATTAAACGAACTGCACCAAAAGTGAGGCGAAAACAAAGAGAAAACTATCGTACACAAAAAAGTCGAAAAAAATCTCTTCTTTGCTGTCATCAAAATCACAAATCTTTACTATCTATGTAGTTGTTCACGATTATCGCTTGTTTCATTCGAATATGCTTTCGTATATCACCCTTCGACTATGATCTGATAATATAGAAACTTTTTACAACTTTTCTTCCGTTTCTTCTCTGCCATGCCGGTTCTTTGTTAAAGCCATCATTCAACACCGTCTTGATTCGATGGTGGATACACGTTTTTTTGTACTCACTCAACGATGTGATAAACTTGGTCTTCATGTTCATTTTTATTATAGATCTTACATTGTGAATCGATGATGTTGGCCATCGTATTCGGTTTCATTCATCGAAGTTTTCTGCGTCTAATGAAGTCTTAATGGGATTTTATTACATGTATTTATCCAGCCATCAATAAAACATATGTTTAACGCCATTCATTTAATTACACACAACCAGCTAACGTACTCAACAACAATCATTGACGGAAACTGTTCTACTACAAATAGACGTTCATCAAAAGGCAATTCACACACGCACACACACACATTGACACAGACACACAATAATATTTCCATTGTTTTCTTTTCCTCTTCATCGGAAGTAACGATAAGCTCCAGTTCGTCAGTTACCATGGAAGTTTTGGCATTGAGGTTAGAGTCAACGTCACTATTTCAACATATCTATCAATTTTGAAAACCAAACCAAAGTTTTTCATTGGATAGCATTGATTGGCCGACAAATTAAATGCAGATTACAGGTAACTTTGAATTGGTTTACAATTTTTGACCAAAAAGTTTCCAATTCCAAAGCAAATTACAAACGTCAATAGTTGCTTTCCCATAAAAAAAAACGCACTGAAAAAAGCGATTGAAAAGTGATTTCTTGTTTAAATAATCAATGAGTTGTACTAAAATAGAGCTCTTTAACCAGTGAACAATGAACTTGAAGTTGAATGTCCATTTATTATGTGATTCTTAACAAAGTTTACAAAATTGAACGTACGCTCAGTATTTTCTTACATCTAAAAAAAATCAATGATTAATTCCATAAAATTACTTTCAAATAATGAACTTTTCTTCGAATATTTATTTAATCAGTCTCATCCGAAGAACGATGATTTTTTCTGAACTGGATTCGGTTTTGAATTTGTGGTTGTGCTTCGCTTTGAGGTGAGCCACTGTGGCATCACTCGTTTCTTCTGTGGTTCTTGTTCATCGGCTTTTGGCTCATCTGAATCGGAGTCGCTCAAATATTGAATTGCATACGTTGCTGCCGGACGTTTTTTCAATGTTGCTTTTGGTCGTTTGGTACTAGCTGTAGTGGTTGTTGTTTCTGTTTTAGTTTCTGGTATTTTGCTGTGAGCTGAAGGCATTTTTGTTGGTTGTTTTGCTTCAAATTTCTTTATTTCTTGATGTTGATTCACTTTCTGTGACGCATGTAATGGTTTGGCTGCCATAATTTCAGTCGCACTATCGAAACTTGCAATAGCAGCCGCAAAATCGTCTTCGTCTTCTTCCAACAAATCCAAAACCATTGATGATTGGTCATGTTGATTTGATAAATCCAAATCGCTTGGTGTGTGTCCACTTCCACTCGCATTTGATAATGTTTCGTTTTGTGAATTTTGTTGGCTTTGACTTGCCGCAATTGTTTTCGACCCCAAGAGAGTATGACCGTTAACAAGACGATTTTCATCCACATCAAAATATGGAACAGAAATCGATTGTAAAAATTGTCGAACTTTTAAGTAATTTAAAACCAGCATCAGCATTGGTTCGGTGATGTGTGGGTTTGTGGAAAATTTTGCTTTGACCTCACTAACATTATCCAAATTCAAAAAGTCTTCATTGGTCACATTGTCTTTGAGATATCGTAGAATTTCATCGCTTGCTCCAATCAAGGGGGCCAAATGGCCTTTTGTAACTTGGAAACCAGTTCGAATCAAAATTACAATTTCATCAATTAATTCGGGCTCAGTGCGATTTATTTGCTTGCAAATATCGGTGAGCGCATGATTATTCCGGATGAGTTTATGTAAGTGTCGTGTTTCTTGCGGTGACAATTGAGATTGTTTTGTTTTCAATGGATAGGTCTTCAAAAGTTTACTTAAACAAAATTCATTATTCTGAAACGGTAATAACATTACGAAATTATGACAACAAATAGCTGAGAAGCAAACAAAAACCACAGAAAAAAAATACTTGCCATGAATTTAATAATTCCATCAATGAAGAACGATGCAAATTTATCTATTTTCGCAATAGAAAACCCATCGATGACATATGACTTGAATTCCTTGACACTAACTGGTTTCTTTTCGACCATTTGTTGGATGGCAATGTTTGACGCCACCAAATACGGCATACAATCACTGTTTTCAGCCAAAATAGCTCGAATTCCGAGTAGAATTTCCTCCAAATGTTTATCGCTCATTTCCATTTCCATTTGATAGTCATCAATGTCTTTTGTTTCCATTAGACTTTGAATACCTTGCCGAACTTCAGTTGCTGGCTTTGTACTCGTACTTGGTTTCAAATTATTATTTTCAAAAGCTTGTTGCTTCTTTTTTCTAAAGTATTGATACATTTCGGGTTTGGCCACAAGGATCAAGCGGTCTCTGTTTGTTTTGTTTAACCAGGCCAAACCCAGCTGTGAGACAACTTGTATCGGCCGATATGGCAGTGGTAGTTTTTTGATAGTGATGTACTCATTATCCTTCAATTGTTCAACCAAATGTCTCCAATACTCTTTTGACCAAATTTTTCCCACTCCATAGATTTCCTTATCTTTTTGAAATTCCAATGCCTTCTTTTCGCTGGAACCTCTTAGCACTGTAATTGCCATATTCACCTTGCCCGTAATTTTCATCGCTTTCAGTAAACGATAGGCATTTTCAGTGAAATCGTAATTGCCTTCATCGTCGATGCCTTCGTATTTATCACTTAGAGTGACGCGACTCGAACCACTGTCGCAGTTATCACAGCAATTTGATCGTGGCCGGATTTGTGATGTGTTTGAACCAAAGTATTCTAGCAGGTATTTTCTGCAAACATTACATTGAAATTAGAATCGTTGATTGAAATAAAAAAAAAGAGGTAGTTTCCTCACCTTCGACACATTGTTGTATGACAAAAATCTCTCATCTTTTGTCCAATTTCACGCAAGTGTGTTATCACTCTTTCTGATTGATGCTCTTGATTTTCATTCAAAAACCATTCGTGCAGTCCAAAGTCGCCTTTCTCATGGAATGTAATGGCCTTGCTGAGTTGTCCATCTCTGCCTGCTCGTCCGACTTCCTGATAATATGATTCAATGTTCTTGGATGCTCCATAATGGATGACACAGCGTACATCTGGCTTATCAATCCCTAAGAAAGTTAAAAGGCGCATTTTTTTTAGATTGATGCCGAAACATAAATGTATGTGTGTTTACCCATGCCAAACGCCACCGTCGCAACAATCACTTTTAAACGATCTCTTGTAAAATCATCCAAAACACTTCGACGTTTTTTCATTGGTATACCCGCATGGTAGATCTCACAGTCCACACCGCACGAACGTAATGTATTTGCAATCTCTTCGGACTTTTTCTTTGTCAATACATAAACTATGACACTCCCACGAACGTTGGTAACGAACGGCTTCAAATCGTCCCAAACTCTTGTTTTGTTACGAAATGAAAAGTGAATGTTCGGCCGATCAAAACCCATCGACACGTTTTGTGGATTCTTTAATCGCAACGAGGAAATTATATCGTCTCGAACATGTTGCGTTGCTGTTGCGGTTATCTTTTTTAAAAAAAATTGTCAAAAATTAGCACAAATTCAGATTCATTTTCATGTACTGGTGCAATACTAAAATAAAATGAGCTGTAGTTACCGCTAATATGGGAATCGATGGTATTTCTTTGCGAATGCAACCCAATTTTCGATATTCCGGACGAAAGGCATGACCATATGCAGAGATACAGTGACTTTTGGAAAGAATTAAGACGCAATTAGAAATATGCTTGGTTGAGATCTATAGAAAAACGCAATGCTTACCTTTCTATGGTGGTTTGATTTAAATGACGCCGAAAAATAATTCCAAAAAATAAAAAAAAATAATGTTAGAAAATGCCATGACATTTCAGTCTAGTATAACTAAAGAAGAATGTAACTCACCGTCAACAGCAACAAGTGTTAGTTTGCTCTCGAGTTTTTTCATCAATTTGTTTCCACGTTCTCCATTGATATACTCTGGGCTAGCGTAAACCATACGAAAATCTCCGGCTTCAACTTGACATTCAATATTTCGATCGCTTTGTGCTGAACCCAGAAAACAAGCGGATATATTGGCAACGCTCAATGCACTCACTTGGTCCTGCATCAGTGAGATTAACGGTGACACAACTAATGTGATGCCATTTGTATAAACGGAAGGAAATTGAAACAACAGCGATTTCCCGTATCCGGTGGGCATAATCACACAGTTGTCACGCTTGTCTTCGATTATCGAGCGAATAATATCCCACTGTTTTGGTCGAAATTCACTGTGACCGAAATTTGTTTGCAAACATTGTAAGTGTTCTTCACTGGGTTTTGTCGCTTCGAAATGATGGTCAAACTGACTGGCAGCTTCCATCAATAGCGCATCTTCCATATCAAAATCTTCGTCCATCTTTTTCACCGTATTTTTGAATTTCTGTAAAAAAAAATACACAAAAACAGGCTTGAATTATAAAGGAGCCTGTGTTTATAAACCATATACACTGATTTCGCGCGATTTCAATTTGACAGCTGTCATCTCAATAATCTAACTGGAAGCCGAATCCCTATTGGAAAAAAAACAAGCCAAATGGAGGGAAATAAAAGTCTTAAGTTTTCAGACAGTGTTTCTTTTCATATTTAATAATGTAATTTCGATTACATTTTTTTTAATAAATGATTTTATACTAAATAACAATTGGATTTTACAATTAATTTATATTTTTTGGAAGTTTTTCTTTTCTCTTTCTGTTTCATTTCCAAAAATAGTGAGTGAGTTGTAAAGGTTTCGTTTGGAAATCTCGAATTGAGATCAAAAGCCGTTATCAACAAGTAAAACTGACTCTTGATGATGATAATAATAATCGCCAATAAAGAGATTGAGAAACTCTGAACTGCCCTCACTCCAACCATCGTCACTCCAACCATCCTCACTCCAACCTAATGGAGATTTTTCTTTGAAGCTTCGGTTCCATTGTATGTTCGAAATTGGTGTATTTGGTTTTGGCGTAAAAAAACGAAATGTTGCTCCAACCGGTTGCAAATACAAAGGTGTGGAGCGAGCAAGCGTAGCTCGTCCTTCACGGCTTAAAGTTAGGTATTTTTCACCAGGTACAAATTCAATCAAATCCGCCCACATAAATTGATCGATGACAGCATTCCACAACCATGATATGGCTGCAGTTTCCGTAATTTTCCATTGCCTACACCACGCAATAACTGTATGATTTTTTCTGTTGTCGTTTTGATCTTATGTTTTTCCATTTCTTGTATCGCACCAAAAACGTACTTTGCGTCAGTAGTGAAATTGTATTTGTTTGATTCATTAAAGAACGTATACAAGTTCTTCAGTTGCCATGTACTGACACCTTTTGCACAATTGTCACAGCAATCTGGTCGAGGCGTCCATGCACTCGTATCTTCACCGAAGTACTCCAAAATCACTTTTCTGAAAATTGTAAGAAAAGCATTAGATTGGAAAAATATCACCATTTTTTATATTTACCGTCGACATTTCGGCGAGTGTACAAATTCTCGAATATGCAATGCCAAACCACGCAAAAATCTCTTCACAAAATTCGCAAGCTTCTTTTTTTGGTTTTCCTTTTCCAAAAACCAATCATGTAAATTAAAGTCTTCAATACTGAAATACGTAATAACTTTACTGGGAAGACCATCGCGTCCGGCCCGGCCGACCTCTTGATAATATGACTCCAAGTTCTTGGATGCTCCATAATGAATAACTGTACGAATATCTTTTCGATCAATTCCCATTCCAAATGCAGTTGTGGCCACTATAACCCGCAGAGTTCCATTCAAGAATAGTTTCACCAATTCTTTACGTATACGTATTTCCATGCCAGCATGGAAAGACTGACAATTGACTCCATACATTCGAAGAATTTTTGCGATTTCTACTGTTTCGTCTCTTTTTAAAACGTATATAATCATACTGCCGTTGTTTAAACTCACCCATGGACCGATATCTGACCAAACATTTCTTGACTTTTCATAAACGATAAATTCCAAATTCGGTCGATCAAAGCTCGTCACAATTTCAAGTGGATTCTGAAGGCGAAGCGTTGATCGAATATCATGACGAATGCGTGCCGTGGCTGTCGCGGTTAATGCCAAAATTGGTGTATCAGAAATTGTTTCTCGAATGATGTTCAATTTTCTGTAATCAAGACGAAAATCCAAGCCCCACTCACTTACACAATGGCTGTATGCAAAAAATGTGATGAATTAGTATTTTGTTAAAGTTTAAAAATAATAACGATTTTGAATAACAATCACCTCTCTGTTTCAAATTCGATGCAAACAGCAAATTGATCCCGAATAACAATAGAAATATGTTTATTAATATCTCACGCATTAAAGACACAAAAAAATTATTGAAATAAAAAAAAATCTTACCATCCACCGCAATCAATAACAACCGGTTCTTTAGCACATTTAGCATTAGCATTCCTTGATGACCTTGCAAATACTCCGGACTACTGTAGATAATATTGAATTCACCATTTTCAATGCGTGACAGTATATTTGCATCGAGTTGAGCTGTTCCAACTAAGCATGCTTTTATTTGAGCTTCATTCAACGCCATGACCTGGGCTTCCATCAATGCAATCAATGGAGAAATGACAAGTACAATTGCGTTTTTGTATACAGCTGGAAATTGGAAACAGAGCGATTTGCCGTAACCAGTGGACATCACAGCACACACATCGCGCTTCTCATTCATAATCGCATGAATGATTTCCCATTGTTTATCACGGAACTGTGAATGACCAAACTGCAATACATACAAATATTCATGAAAATATTTTGAAAGAAACCGATTATCAGTCCTATTTTACTGCCGGTAGGCTTTGTTTTCACTTTGAAAATTACAATCGTTCCCATTGAATTGAATATGAAATGGGATTACCTTTGATCGTAAACATTCCAAATGCTCCAAAGATGGTTCGCTGCCATCATCATCTTCAAATGCCGCCAATGCCAATTCTGTTTCCAATTCCAATTGAGCCAGATCCATTTGTGGTGCTACTTCGGATATTTCACCATGCTCCGATTCTTGATTATTTGATGTAATTGAGCGATCAATCGCTTCAAACTGTTCATCGGTAATTTGTCCGAAATCGTCATCATCGTGCCAATCTTCCATTTCCTGACTTTTCCGTGTTTTTACACTGACTTCACGGTCGATGGCCGCAAATTGTGTGTTTGTGATTTCAGCGAAAATATTTGTTTGTGACTGACTTGGTGCGAGTCTGCTGATCGTACTTTCTCCCTGGTTTTTATCTTTATCATTATTTGATACTTTTGCAATATCACTATCTAATGCAGCAAATTGCTCATCCGTAAGTTCGTCAAATTCTTCATCATCCATCTTATACGAATGAATAAACGTACAGTAAACAATGAATACCGATATAAACAAAAAAAATATGTTTTGATGTGACAAGTGAAATGCATCGATTGCTTTTATTTTCATTGGAATAAGTTCCAATTCCTGCCACCAGTTGCACAAACAACTGCGCATCAAATGGAATTCATCTGTCAAACTGTCAAACGTCAAACGGAGACTGTACATTTGTTTTCATTTCTGTTCAACATGTTTTGAGTAAAAAAAAAATACGACGAAATAAGCCGCAATTATTTTGTTATGCCACCACAGTAATAAAGACGAAACAGTTTAGAATTAAGTGAACGACAATGAACGGAAGCAATATAGCTAGTGTACCGGTGTGCATTCTTGAAGAGATTGGACTTGAAGGCTTGGAGGGAATCACAATCGAAGGATTATGGAAACGAATTGGAGCTCGTTTGAAATTGCCATTGCCACTGAACAATCGACTCACAAATGATATTTGGAAATTCGTACAAAATGCAAAGTGTCTGCAGTATTACGAACTGCCCGATGAAAGAGAACCATTGAAACTATTTGATCGCTCAGAAGTGATGGATCCATTTTTTGGTGTCACAGAACCCGTGAGTACCGCTCTTATTTTTTCGAAAAGTATTACTCCAAAATAATTAAATGATTTTTTTTTTAAATTGTAGGAAATTTGCCCATACAATCAATACAAATACAATCCAATCAGTAATCAAGACGTTCGTGGTTCGTGTGAACACTTTGAGACAAGAGTTGAAATTTCAAAAGAAGAAGTGGCCAAATATACGACTGACAAAATTGAACGAAAGTAAATTGGAAAATGCTAGTACATTTTGTATATGGTTATAACATTTTTTTTATTCTCCAGATATGGTCGTCGTTTTGTAATCGTTGCATCACAATTTTTACGTGATTCATTATTAATACCACCATGCGTTTCGAAAGAGTTGGATCTCACCATAATTGCTTATTGCATTCTTGAGCGGGTCGGTCGTTCCAGATACAATGGTGAATTTGCTCATGGAAAATGGTCTTTGGCTGACATTGGTGGCGATGCAATTGGATTACACCACCAAAAGTGAGTGCATTTGCAAAATCAATTTGATGAACAGTTTTTTATAATATTTTTCTTCCTAAATGTAGGAAAAAGTTGGTACGTTATGAACTAATAAAATGCCAATCGTTCACACAAAGTATCGACGGTCTGAACACAGCTGTACAATTAATACATTTGCCACGATTCTTCACTACGTTCAAACAACGGTAGGAATTTATTAGTCAATTCTAATTGAAGAGAACACAATTTTGGTTCCAAGTGATATTTTAATTGGATTATTCTTTTTTATACAGTCACATGATTTTGATAGAGAAAATCGTTGGAATATTGAAATCGAAACCCAACTGCATGGCTGAGTATCAAGAGGTAAAAGTCCAATTTGAAGAGGGATTGCAAAAAACATTGAGTCGTTTGTTCAAGACACCATTATTTCATCGATTTGTGCTAACTGACACGGTATGTCAAAATTTTGACAATTTTAAATTGTATCTGGTGAATTTTGTGGTATAAATTTCGTATAAAAATATATCGTTCAATCATTTGCAGAGAGTACCATATCGAGCAATTTATCCGAATGCAACCGAACGAGAATGGCGACTACCGAAACGGGAAAATGAACGAACATTGAATGTGTTGCAGCTGCGTGATCCAAAAATTGAGCCGTGGCAATTTTGGGTCAAATTAGACATCGAGGACGAATTAGGTGATGATGAAGACGGCGAAGGTAAGTTATTTTATTGCATCAACATATATTCGGAGTATTCAATGTCTTTGTTGTAATTTTAGGATTTTTGGATGAATCAAAGGCGATAAAAGATGTGCCCATATTACATCAATTGTACAAATTAATTGAATCAAGGAAGGAACATGGTATAAGTGAGTCTGAAGCCTCTGCCTATTTGGGACAATCGAAGCTGAATGGCAGAGCATTGATTCGATCACTATTAAAAGACAAACAAATTGAATATTATATCACCAGCAAACAACGACAAACAGTCCGACAGTACGTAAATCAATCTTTATTCAATAGTTTTCTTCACAATTCCATTTTCCAAAAATTAAAGTGAATTTCTTCCTTTCCAGATACGTTCTACCTGAATATAATACCAAATCCAAACAAACGATTGATGAGATGATCAATAGTGCATCCGAATACAGTATTGAACCATCGGAAGACAATGCCGATTTGCCCGAAATTCCAACAAATGACCGAGATTTCATCATCACGGAAACCAACGACGAATTGACACTAGTCGATACGGTAAAAACGGAGAACAATGACAATAACGGTGATGAGTTTATGGAAGAAGTTGATGTGTCAGTCGAAGAGGAACCGGAGACCATTACCTATGACGAACCATTTCGGACCGATAAAGATGATCACAAAGATCGAATCGATGGTGAAATAAAAATCAAAATAACAGAAATTAGCGAGGCATTTCACGGTATTCCACAGAAACGTCAACTCAGAGACGATCATTTGACGGATAAAACGAAAGAACGATTAAAATTTATACAGCGCGAAGTTCAGTCAAAGATATTATTTGATGATCCATCAAAATTGCACAATGCCATGAAGCATGACGAAGTAGCGCGTGGCCTTCGTGATATAATGTGTAGAAAAACGTTTTTTCGATTGTTGACGTACTTGTGCCAAAAGGAAAAAATACGTCTATGGCGAATTGATTTCCAATATCAATCGAAACATCGTTCGCTCACGTACATTAGCAATCGAAGCGTTGATTCAAATTATTCATTGATGCAATCGTGCATTGAACAGCACAAGTCAAAATTTCAATTAAACATCTACGAAGAGGAATGCCGAAAGGAGAATAAAAAAGCAAAGGAAGTCGCAAGCGAAACACAAAACGGTGAAATTGTCAATGAACCAGTACAAAAACTAACCGTGTCAACAAATCTATCGTTTAACTATGGCATTACACCGAAATTTATTCGATTGCGAACGTTGCATGAGTTTATGTTCTATTTGGCACGAGAGCATTCAACCATCGAGTTGACCAATCAAGATGAAATTGTTGCTCATTTGAAAGAGTCGTCGCCAATGCTATTCGATGATATCGATGAAGTACCGATGATTTGGAACACAGAAATCGGTTGGAAAATGTTTATCCCGCCATTGATTAAACACAATGGTTTCGACCAAGGATGGTGTCTGCTGTCTGATTGCATTTTTCGCATGCCATTGTCTATTTTCGTAAAAGTGGTGAATATCACATTGGAAATTAAAGGACTCAACGAATTCATTGAGCATCCGATAAAAAAACACTTTTTGGTCAAAGACATCCCAATCAATTTACAGAAAATGTTATTTGCACGACGAAAATATATTGCTGCGTTACACGATTTGTTGCGTCGATTGATTTGCATTGGACTAGTTCAGGCTGGGCCACATCGTGCGATGAAGGATCAAGCATTTTATTACATGAATCATCTGGCGTCGTTAATTGACACATCAACGTCGCAACCGGGCGCATATTATATCAGTGAACAGGATTACACGGAACTGGTCTATCAATTCGATACGCTTGAAGATGTGTTCACCTATTGGGATGACATGCATCGCATTTGCATGAGCACAAAATTGAATCGAAAACCAACGGGTGGCGAGACTCCGGCCGAAAAGGCATTGCCAATTAAATTTCTGCCATTTATGAAAGCGATTCAACCGAGACACGCAAAAGATAGAGATAGAGGTGAAATGCCGGGCGATCATCGTGGTGCGGCCGGCCTTGATTCGTATTTTTTCGCGCATTTGGAACGAAATTGGTCACTTAATCCAATGAAATACAAGCCAAAATTACAATCGAAAGAGAAATCGGATGCAAAACCAACACGATACAGTCGGTCACATCGTGTGACACGCGATATTAATTCGAAGAAGCATGAATCTCGCATCACACCGGTGCCATTGCACAAATTGAAATCAGCTGCGATTCGTCGTCGGCCGAAGCCGGTATTGCGTAAGAAAGCGGCATTGGTTAAAAAGAAGCGTACCCGTACCAAATACGATGATATCGATCGAATTGCGTTGAAGCACATGAATAAATTACGAGTTGATTGGAATACACAGGAGGATAACTTCTTGCTGTTGTGCAAAGTGGCTTCATTGTACTTGAATCCAAGAGGTCGGTTATTAATTCCCAGCCAAATTTTACGTGATCTCATTCATTGGCATTGCAAATCACTTAATAAAACATCGTTTGCATGCCGTCGTCGTATCAATTACATTCTAAAAAAATTACCAAACAGCAGTCAAATTAACAACAGCATCTTAATGTGTATCAACGAAATCAAGAGCAACAAATCGCTTGAGAAACGTTTCGGCAGTAATTTTATTGACAAACTCAAGAGGGTGTATGAAGACGAATTTGAATTCAACAGAGCATTTCAAATCCATTTCGTTGACTTGGTGCACACGCTAAGCTGCCAATTCTATAATTTGACCAACAGTTTTGAGTCGAACGTTATACTTCTACCGCGAACACTACAAGAGTTCAATGCACGATTCAAAGAACGTGAAGATTCAGTATACGATTCCAATACGATGCGCTATGACGAACCAGATTCGGTGGATGACATTAAAATCGCACAAATCGTTACGTTGATTCATAGCACCGTGTGTTGTTCGTATGATAAAACTTCATGGAGCATTCAACTGTATGAGATTTACAAAGATTTTCCCGAGGCACTGCTATCGTTGTCGATGCAGAAAGTACGCTCCGACCAGATGATTTCGCAGCATAAATTGAACAGTAGTCAAAATAAAGTGCAAAACCGTTGTTTGCCACTCAGTTCAAGTGGTTTTCATCTTTCAATGACCTATCAACAGCAAATGACCACAAAAATCGCATACGATACATTCGATGATGCGTACGACAATATCAAAAATCTATTCGAGGATGTAAATGATCGCAAACAACCGCATGTACTAAATTTATCGAATAGTGCTGTTTGTTTCTTCATATCAGAACTTTCCCAAAAGGTCAACTATGACATCAGCATCGAAATACCGAAACGAATTCTATTACTCGATCCAACGAAACGTCTGCCGGAAGATTCATTTGAAGGGGTCTACGCAAGGTTCCATGAAATCTTTAACTATATACCCAAAGTCGATTTGACCGGCACCGACGATTCAACATTAGATGATTTTATAAATGAATTGCCGAATTCAGAGGATAAATCACAATCGATAAACGAAACAAAAAACATTGTGAAGAAATTGGAAGAATTGCCACCAGAAATTTTACATTTCTTTTGCATCATTGACAATTTTGAAGTGACCAAACCACGCAATCAACTTGAACTAAGTGCGGACGGAAAATGTCCATACAATTGCATGATAAATTTGGAAAAACCATTTGAGACGATCATGGATAAATTGGTGGCAAAACGGGAAATTTGGTATCGATTAAATATTGAACAATTTGAATTGGAACCGTTACCGGCTGTGGTGAAAATTGACGAAACTAACATCGTGGCCATCTATAATTATTTGGTGCTGAAAGGTGCCAATGCAACTGATCAACAGCGCACCGCCAATTTGGAACTATTCAAAAAAATATCGGATATTGTTGACGAACTTCTTTTGGAAAACGACCGAGAGTTTATTGACGAAGATTTTGGGGCAGAATATGATTTGCGCAGTGATGTAAAAAAGAAAATTTATGATGGCGCACAAATCAATGATAAAATACACAAGTTTCACGGTATGAACTCAAACTGTCGAAACACATTAGATTCTTATTATACTTGGAACCCAATTTTTTTTACAATATTTTTTTTTTAATTTTTCCAACGCCATTCAGATTTCCTGTGCGTTAATACGTGTAAATTGACTTTGATACCGAAGGACGTGGAAGAAAACAGTGATAAAATCATCAATGTAAACGATCTCAGTAAAAAACGAGACCAAATATTGGCGAAAATTGTACAGTAAGTTCTTTTTCTCTTCTAAATAAAGTACGAGACTCGTGTCCAGTGGCACCATTAATACGAGTAACTGTAGTATTTCTATCCGTTTATCTATTAAAAATTGTCCATTCCTTTTGTGCAGTAACTCAAATTGGTCACCAGATCTGAGGTCAGACAAAGACTTTGTGGAACTTCTGAAAGAGAAATTTGACATGCGAGAAATTCACATTGCCGTTGATGTTTTTAACTACATCGATAGTCAAGGTGAAATTGGCGTAACTGCAGCTACTCTCCATAAAAGATATGAGGATAAAGATTTTTTGCAAAAATTATTGGATTATTTTAATGAATCAAAATTGGTGATGAAGACGGGTGTATGTCAGGTGACATATGTGCATTGGAAACACATCAAACCATGGACAATTAATACGTATCATTTAAAACGACTAGACCGGGTACGTTGAACATTATACATCAAATAATCTGAATTTTGTTCATAATTCTGGGGTTTTTTCATTATATTCCAATTAGGAGGCCACACCACCGTCGCCAAAGACACTCTTACACATATCGGATGAGTCAACATCAAGCACTGAGAGTGGAACAAAGCGAAAAACCAGCGAAAATGATACAATTGAAACAAAACGAACAAAAGTTGGTGAAAATAGCGAAACCAACTCATCTATAAACGAAGTGAATGAAATTGTCCCAGTACAAGATGATCAAATAAAACAGAGTGCATCAGAAACCTCTAGCAAAGCGTCACAACCAAAAATCTCAGTGAAACTGACGAAACGATTCTCTAATGCGATCATAGAGCATGGTGAAGAAATGGCAACTGAAACTATACCGCCAACCAAGTAATACTAAGTGTCATTAGATTCCAGTGTCACACTTAGCGGTGTAGTGAGCAATTGATTGAGAATTAAGGACTCACCGTGACAACAAAATTGTGAAATAGCGGATATTCATCCCAAGTGACCACTTTTTCACAAATTTGAAGTCATAGTGAATCTTTATAACCTTATTTATGTTCTCTGCCCACAATGGCACATTTAGCTGCCTGAGTTCTCAGTTAATTGTCGACATTACCGCTGATTGCTACTCTGTTATGTTCAAACTATTAGAATCAAACAAAACTAAATCTTTTTTTTTTTACATTTAGAAAAACGTTCCCCTTGAAGATGGCACCTTGGATTCGAGTGAATGGATCAGTAAATCGTCGTGTTATTGATAAATATGCTGGAACAATCTTGCTGCATTGCATTGAACACGTTGGCCTTACATTATTCACGCTTTGTACCCGATTCCACTATTTACTGCCGATTCATGTTCATGAAATAGTTCAGGTTTGTTGCATTCGATGAATAATTCCATAAGAATTCTAGATTTTAAACAATAAACCATTTTCAGTACCTAGAAGAGTTTGGATGCATAACGAAAACAACCATGACCAAACGGAAGAAAGTCACATTGTTTTCGAAGTATCAGAGCGTCAGTACCGGTAAGATCATTTGATGGCAAACAATTCTAAAAAATCGATTTAATGATTGGTGTCATTTTATAGGTCCGGCCACCGATTTGGATGACTTCAAAGACATTGTTATTGAACCAACAATAGATGCTGTCGTTAAAATGTCTATATTCATCGGAAATAAGAAATACAAAGAAGATTTTATATAAGAAAATAAATGCAACGAACAACATATCTGTTGTAACATACGATAAACTTTAATTAACAAATAAAATCATACAGTAATTACTATAGCATATAGTTTTTGTGTTTTTGTATGGAATGTGTGTATCATGACTATGTATTTTTCTATTGTGTTTGGAATCGGATTTCAAAATTAATTTCAAAAATATCTGTCCTATTTTACTTGAAATATACTGAGTTTTGATTAAAATCACGTTTTAAAATGCACAAAAAAATGTGTGACAATAAGTGAGTCGCTAGTTTTGGCACTTGTTTGCTCTAAATTTTTAACATTACTTTGAATGTAAAAAAAAATCAATGACAACCGACTCAGTGCTTCATCTTCTCTTTTAAAAGTTTTTTTTTTCTTAATAATAATTCATAATTTTTGTGTTCCGGTAATGATTTGTAATGCGATGAGTTTTTTTTTTATCAGTAAGGCATTTTGGTAAATGGTCGATTATTTTCTGTTTACTTCACTTAATTTGGTTCCACATCAGATCAAAGGCGTGCAAATATTCCTTGCGTACTTTTTTGTTGTAGTTGAAATGAACGTTTTCGCAGTTGTTAACAACACCCTAAAAATTCAATCAGAGTCAACCAATAAATGAAACTGGTATCAATTTTGAATCATCATATACTTACGGCTGTCCAGTTAAGAGAACCGTTAATAAGACAACCTTCTCTAGCATATCCATCGATTAGACAAAATTTATGGTGCATCAATTGACTGTTCTCACTATCGCCACATGTTTTCACATGAATACCTATTAAATTGATTCATTATGACCTATTCTTTCTCTAAATTGATGAAAAAATCACAAAATTACCGGCTTTTTCAAGAATTCTGCCAACGGTGTCCTTTCCCTTTTCGGTTTTTTCCTCATTGTCATCATAAGTTTTTTTGTCCATAATAACGCGCACATTGACTCCCGTAAATTTTCCCTTGTGTAACGCAATGTGTTGGGCTAAACGATGACTGGTAAAATTGTACATTGCAATACAAATTGATGATCTAGCGGTTTTCATTTCGAAGGCAATTTTTTCGAATAAACTACCCGGGCATCTCTTTTTGCATTGAGGTCCAGGATTGCAATTACTAACAAATGGATTGCAGCAATTTTCGTCGAAAGACATAACAAAGTAGACTTTGTCTTCTTTCCGAGTATTAAATTTATCATAAAATACCTTGCAAAGGAATGCCAAAATAATTCCAACTACCAACCATATGAATGCCCGCAAAATGTCATTCATCGTTCCGGTTTTTGGTATTTTTGGTAAAAAAATAATTTATTTAATTAAATAAATTTATTTGCACGATTGATTTTTAAGTTGATTGAGTTGAAGTAAAGAGTTCAGCGCACAACAACGTTTGTTTGACGTTTGGCCCGCTAAAATTTATGCTGCACAGTTAATGCCACGAAATGCACAGCACAAATACTCTTGTCATTGTTATAATTTGACATTTGTATTTTCAACTGATTCAGGGTTGCTATAAAAATGCATTTTGGACACCAACGGTTTTACACAATTACGATCGATCTGTGACGTGTTTATGATATTGTACATGGGAGATAAAAAACTGGCAAAAAAAAACATTTTGTTTTTCGAGTCGATTCAATCGAATTGAAGTTTATTTTATATTATAAAAACTTATTTTACAATTTGGAAATGACAACAATGTATGTGCGTTGATTTCGTATCGCGTTAACATGGTCGTCTCAATGTCTGAAACTTGATCTAAAACTAAATATACCAGCTGAACATATTCAGCGTACACTCAGCAAAAATTCCCAACAACGATTTGAAAAGCAAAAACCAATGAATAGTATAAAAAACGGATTAGTATTAATACCACACAATAAAAAAAAATGCCACGAACATCAATAATTGATTGTAAATTAATTGAGCAAAACATCGGTTGGTAGCGGATTAGAACAAGCATGGCTTTGTATTTCCTCAATAATTCCATTCAAAGTGTGTTTTATTTCATCAATTGTTTTCAGCATAAAAATAGGCACATCGTCGTCTCGACGTTGGAATAGTATTTCACCTTCAAAATAGACAAGCTCATGCTTTCGAGCTCGCAGTAGCACTCCTACTAATTTATTGCTTATTGTTGTGTAAATCTGTTGACAAGTTCAGCAATTGGTTTTTAAAAATCAAAGATATTCTTACCCTTTTTTGTTATATTTAATCTTACTCTGAATAGTTCTCCGAATGGAATCACTTTCAAATCTGGAGTCTCTTCGCTCTGATAATAGCCTCTCTTATCAATGATTTCGCATAATTGTAGCATTTCTCTGTAGATGTGAATATTGGCTTTTTGAGCACGAGCTTCGGTAAGGCTTCCCGCAATTGGCCTAGCATATTTTGAAAATAAATCTGTTGTACCAAAATGATGCACTTTTGATGGGTTTGGTGCTTAGTAAGCACTGCTTACCTTCCATAATTATCTTTTCTAATATTCGGCAGAGTCGAACTATGGCCACCGACAATCTGATTCTTGTACATTTTTCGTTGAAAATGGAAATTTCCAATTCAAAATTGGTAATTGAAATTTGCGAATTTTATATTCAATAAAAATTAATATTTTCACTGCGGCACAAAATAAAACGTAAAAAAGCAATCACACGGTTTATTTTTAGATTTGATCGTCTCCACACGAATCTCACAACCAAACTGAATGCATGCTTTATACGCACATTTGTTTTACTGTACTGCAGTGGAATGCGATCTGAATGCAAAATAATATCGCACAAAGTAACGGATTTTGCGTAGGCTTGTCTTGAGTTAAAAAAAAAATACAAATGCAAATACTTGCAATACTTACACATTTTAGTTTACATTTCGTGTTTTAATGTGTTGAAAAGAAAAACGGAATAGAGTAGCCTTAATAGTCTTTCACTTTAATTTGCATACCTTATCGACAGTAAATATATGAAGCACCTTCCAGTGTATTTGTTTGACATAAATCTGATACATTTTTAAAGTCTACAATATTGGAAGGATATAGAGTATCCCAATAGCTTTGTGTAATATAACTCTAATTTACTTTGAGTGAGAGAACCGCAGATGTTACTCAAAACTGAAAATATCTCATATAAATTTGATAAATAAGCCGTGAAAGATGCGAGATAAACAAGAGATGAAAATAGGACACGTTTTCAGACGAAGAAAGATTTTTTTTTTAAAGATCATATTATTCCAAATTGTCAATAAGATTTTACACCATCAAAAAAAAGAACAGAAAATGCAAAAAAAAATGTTTACAATGAAATTTGTTTTTCTTTTTCCTTTGGACTTTTCTCATTGGTTTTGGATGTATTGGTTTGTGAACCGAGTATTTCATTGCTTTCGCATATATAATAGAGTCGATATCCACACAAATGATCGTTCCATTTCAAAATATGATAGCCCTTAATTTCAATGCATTCTTCCTGCCAACCAACATTTGCATGAAGATTGTCTGGTAGGCCATTTTCCCAATCGGTGAATGTGATTGGTTTCCTATTTTTTTCATTTCCCCAATAGAATGTCCCATTTGTGTTTATTCTATTGCCTGACGTCCAAAAACCGATTGCTCCTTGACCTTTACGAAAATAATTTTAATTTCATTTTTTTAAAATAAAATGGAATATTTCAAGCAATACAAACACTTACGGGCTTTTTTAATTGCTTTTATAATTTTTTGGTTGTCTTCTTTTGTTGGAATGCTAATTAATTCCATGTTTTTCAATTGACATTGTTCCACCGCTTGTGTCCAATTTACCTAAAAATGATGAAAACAAGCTACACCAAATATCATCATTTTGATTAAATTCATGATTACCCTTGTGGTAAAAATATGATACGCTCCGACTTGTATTTCATTTGATTTTTCGTCATCATTCGAAAATTGGACTTTTTCTTCTTCGTCACTGTCGTCAATATATACTGAAGCTGGTACTAAAAATTATAATATGGTAGTTACAACATTGAATGTTCTCAAATGTACATTGTACATGTTTTTACACACCACCAATTGCTTTTTGAGTGAAAAGTAATATTAGAGCGAACACTAAGTACTTCTTCATTTCAAATATTATCACAACACAATTCAAAAATTAAAAGTTTGAAGTATAAAATATTCAAATGCTACTGGTCGCGAACGAAAGCATTCTAAGTGAAACCCTACGAAGACTTTTATTTAAATATTTGTCCGTGTCACAAAGTCAAATATGATTAAAAATATAAAATTAATAAACATTTTCCCCGAATACGAGATAGTATTAAAAACTTGAAATTAACCAGTTCCAAGTAACGTTTGTCAATAACTGACTGCTTGTTATTTCTCGTTGTATTTGAGGTATAACATTTTGTTGAAAAATCACTCGTTGTAACGATAACATTCCGTCTTTTCTTCATGCTTGACTCATGTGAAATCACACACAATGCATGTCAAATTCAATTTAATATATTTATTTATTAAAATAAATGTTTTGATAAGGAAAGACTCTTTGAATGGATTAAGACTTTTTATTGAATTTCAAAATTCTTTTAATTGCTTATAGACATGCACTTCTATTCAAGTATTAGATTGTTTACGTGTTATTTATCGCGATTTTATGGAATTTCACTCAATTAATGGTGATGAATAAATTGAAGTTTTCGTTGCCAAATAAATTGTTAAAATTGAACACAAATGCATCTTCGCAAAACACGTGTGTTGATCTTTTTCAATGATTCAGCGTTAAATTTGAAAATGGGAATTGCCAGAACAATATATATATATTTTTTGTTAGTCATTTTTCCGATGATGAACCATGTTTGTATATGCATATTTTGAACTGAATTTTCGATAAACGAAAATCAAAACAAATAAAATTAAAGTGCACGAACGATAGTTTATTTCCATGTACTTAAAAAGTATTTTGATCTCCGAAAAGTGGCCGTTTTTGGTATCAGATTAACTTGAATTATATTTCTTAATATTATAATATGCATATTAATCTATTCCTAATCAACAAAATGTATTTTTAAAACACAAATCAATAACACACAAGTTGTGTGAACCGTTTAATATATTTTTATTTTGCAAATAACATATGAACTGATAAATGGTCAAGGTCACTATAAAAAAGTGTGAAGTAAAAATCGCACCAATCTCATTGATATTAATAATATGTAAATGACATGTTTATTTATTTGTGCCTCTCGTAATATCAATTTGGAAAAGAAAGTGTTGACTTCGTCTCATAAAAATAAACATTTAATCGACTATATTAAAAGAAAGAATTTATTCCTTGATAACACATTTGACTTTGCTCCTTCGAAATAGATGCATGCTTGCTTTGGGTATTTTTAGGATTTATTTCTTTCCTCGAAATTATTATAAGCAGAAATTAAAACCTGTTTATGAATAAATATTTATATATTGAACAGGAATACATTCATCCAGCTAAAATATCTCGTCTCGAAGAGATATTTGATCGAAAATGTGTGAGTCTGGTGAAAAAAATCAAAATAAATATTGTTTTGATTTATCAGGATTTTCCATATTAGTCATCAAATTCAAAATATCGACACATTTTTTTGTAAAGAAAATCTTCATTGTCCGTAAAACTTGGTCGACGTTCGGATTCTAATAGGCAATTGTCGGGATACGGGCGGACTCGGATCACAAAAATGTGGCCCGTTGAGAACTCTGTTGTCTACGAATAAAGTCTGCTGTAATTAACCTTTCGTGATATGGACTTCAAAAACATACAATCATTCAAATATTTTTTTTTTCTTCTTTCAGGTTTTTATTTTGGCAAAAAAAAAATTCATTCTGGATTAGTAACTATTCCAGCAAAAATAAGAATGCCAGTTGTTTCATCCTGAATTAAAAACAAAAATTCACGATTTACGTTGAATTGAATGGCAGTACCAGAACTATTGACCAAGCTTCCACTTTCAGTTGCATTCGTTGTGCTTTCTTTCTCATAGAATTCAATTCCGACTTTTTGTAAAATATTCGACACTTGCAAACGGTCCTGAACACTACGCCCTCGTGCAAGTATTGGGAACGATGCTCCATTTGTGAATATCTGACGAATTCCAAGCTTAAAATACAATAACATAATTGCAGGGATTGTGCGAAGTGTAGAAATTGATTCAAACATTATATTTACATATTTCAAAATATCGTTTAATCCAATGTTTTTGAAGAATTTGAACTTTGGCATAGACACTGCAACTTCGACCTTTTCCATCAGCACTTGTGTGAGATAAAAATTATCTCTATCGATTCGGGCGACGAGTTCGTCCAAACCGTCATCATTTGGTAGAGCTATATATATTGCGAATTTTTGTCCCTGAAAAACAACAGTTTTTTTATAATTTTTTTTTAATATAACGCCAGTTATTATGTAAAAAAAACACAATCAAAACCAAATATTTACATCGTATGGGAGTCTCAAAAATTTGGTATCCAATTCAGTTGATTCGTGATAGTAAAAAGTGCCAGTTTTTCTCATAAATTGTACAGACAGATTTTCTCCTGATTTTAGGTGAAAATTCTGGCGGTCAGAATCACTTTCAACAAACGGCATACTCCAACGTCCATATAATGTATTCAGCAAAAGAATCACCGAACCTTTCACGTCATCTGTGTGCATAGTTTAACATTGAAAAGTCATTGAGCGAATGAAATGTTTCAATGTCATGATTCGCAAATCAATTTGTGACTCAAAACGAATTAGATAAATATAATACTTATATACCGGAGGTGACAATGTCATTAAGCTGATTATTTGTTGCACTTGCACACCAAGCATTAATTGTATTAGAGGCCATTTGCGGATTAGAAAAGTCGATCGATTCGATATCTGCGAAATAGTATTGAAATTGATAAATATCTGATTTTCATTTGAAAAAAAATTGGCATGAATTTATTATCGAATTGTGTTAATTTACCCGAAAAATACAAAGCTTTGATGATAGCCAGAAATTTTTGATTCGGCTGAATGAAAGTGTCCACAAACAAACTGGTTCCGAATTTTAATTCATTCGATTGCTACAAAAACGAAAAATATTTCCACTTGAAAAAAATCAAACACTTCTTAATGTTCATTGAAATTTACCATTAGAGATTTCAATAGTTCGCGAATTTTTTCTGCATTGCTAATGTTTGGTACACCTGTTGATAGTTCCTGATAGCTACTTGTGTCTTTTCCAGCTGCTTCAGCCAAAATTGATAGCATTAAAATGAGGAAAAATGGTGAAACAACGACATTCTTTTGATTGTAGGTGGCCAACACTTTCTATACACAATTTGAATGAATCGAGATAATTCGACTTTATAATTAATTTTATTTAAAAAAATCACATACTTGTGTCAATGTCCAATCGAATTCATCGCGTTTCAGTCCATTTTTAAAATGATCTGTATTATCCTCTTGCAACTGCACTCCACAAGAAATCACAATTAAAAACACTGCACAAAAAAGTCATTGATAATTAATTCAAAGGTTTCAATAAATTCAATTCTGATTCTCTTACATACCCAACGAAAGGAGTATTTTGATCATCACGACAAACGTTCAACTATGAGAATAAAAATGAAATCCGTGATCCTATGGCATTTATAAGAAGTTTTCCTTCGTTATCATTTTTTTATCAAGGTTATTGATTTCATGACCATTTCACAGTATATGTAATCTAAATGGAGATACATTGGAAATCAAGTTTTAAATTCAGTTGAATAAAAAATTAATAAAAACATATGATTTGTATTTCGTACGAATTTTGTTGCACGTGCCACATTTTAAATTCGTTGTTTTCATTAAATGATCTCATTTAAATTCGCATTTTAATATGATCTTGTTTAAAACGAGTATCATGTGATAACCGGTAATATTTTGCAATTTATTTTATTTTTATTCTTTTAAAAACCATACATGGGCACAAGGGGGTATACATGATACATATTTCTAGACAGATTAAAAAATTGTCTGAACTAAGCATCCCCATGAGAAATGTTAAAGCTTGAAAATTGCTCTTGAACATGGATATCCCTCTTAACATACCGACTATTCCCATGTATGTCACAAATATTGTTCATGGTGTTTTACATTCGTTATTGTTCATGGGCTGGTTTAACTTCGATCTAAATTCTTTCGCAGCGATGCAATGACAGCAGCCGCTTCATATTCAGTATTTGTGGATATACCATTTGCATATAAATTCAATATGACGGCGGGGAACATAACCCTGTTGAATAGAATCAACATTCAACAGTTAAAATTGAAATATTTCGTTGCTTTTCTTATTATTTATTTTAAACAAGTAAATTAATTCCAGCGATGAGAATTTTAAAATTTTCGTATATCACGGTACACCATTTTCTATCGCAATTAAATTGGCGTAATGATAATGAGATTCTCCCTTTTGTGTTTGAGCCTTTGGATATTCCGTGCGATGTATTTAAAATTATTTGTATTATTATTTTCCGTAGTCAAGAAATGAAAAAAATGTTTATTTATATAGATTTATATTTTATAATTTCATTTTTTTATAATTTTAATCAAAGAAAATCCTTAATTTACATATCCAGATTGTCCATCATAAAAAGTATTTAAATAAATATAATTGATACTCATTCAAATTTCACATATGTAATATAATTTATGGCTACAAAAATTATCGTTCCATTTCAAAGTATTGAATCCTTTTATTTCAATGCATTGCTCTTCTTCGCCACCTTTAATTCGTTTGTCCGGTTTTCCTCTTTCCCAATCGGTAAACGTGACTTTTTCTCCATTATTCCAATAGTATGTATCACCTTCCTCTATTCGGTTTGCTGATGTCCAGAAACCAATCTTACCTTGACCTAATTTTATATTTAAAATTTATAATTTGCTTTTACAATGTCACATAACATAAAATTTTGTTTGTAAAACATGTTCGATACAAACGTAATTTACAGAAAAATGTGATAATCATTTACCGGCTTCTTTTATTGAACTTATTAAAGCGTTATTTTCATCTCTTGACAAAATGCTAACCAATTCCATTCCCTTAGATTCACATTGTTTTACTGCTTCTGTCCAGTTAACCTAAAACATATGAATAATGACGCTCACATTTATCATATGATCAAATTTTATGTTTAACTTCGTACTCTGGTCGTATAAAGATGATATTCTTTGGTTTTTCTCTTATTTCGACGATTTTCCGGTTTCAAATCTACTCCGAAGACAAAAATTGACACTGAAAAAAATTGATCGATTTTAAAAATGTATTCAACTGTTTTTATTGTCACTAAAACATACACAGTAGGAGAAAAGTGAGGGGCTTCATTTTAATTTACAAATTGGAGAATTCACCCTAATTTACACATAAATAATTCGATCCACCAAATTCAGAAAATAATAAATCTGTAAATTCAATACAATTTCACGTCAAAAATTTCACATAACAAAGTAGGGCGATGTGTTTTGATTTTCTGTGTGAGACGATTTTAATCGAAAGTCTGGCTATAAGCTGCATTATCAGTTTCATTTTCAGTATGAATGTATTATCACATAATCGCTGTGTATGTTGGTTTGTAGGTCGATCTTTTTCAAATATGAATTTAAAATTTATTTAAATGTATATTTCAATTAAAGAACAAAAATTGTTGCCCTTGTACAAAATCAGAATAAGATAAGAGAACAGAGCAGTCGCCCAGCGTTTTATATGCAGTAATAAATACAATGTGATAAGGAAAAAATATTGTCATTTATTGTGAATAAAAATCAAATCGATTTGCTATGGATGAGCGGTTTTTTTTTTGTTATTGTTTACAATACAATTTCATTTAAATTTTAATATCCTTCTGTCTCCTCGTCCAATTCATCTTCATCAAGATCGGTACCAACTTCTTGGTATTGCTGATATTCCGAGATTAAATCGTTCATATTATTTTCGGCTTCGGCAAATTCAGCTTCATCCATTCCTTCTCCTGATTATATAAATAAATCATTTTGACAATTATTCAATGTTAATTTAAACGGCTGAAAACTCTTACCCAAATACCAATGCAAAAAAGCTTTGCGTCGAAACATAGCAGAAAATTGTTCTGATACGCGTCTGAATAGTTCCTGAATGCTTGTTGAGTTGCCAATGAATGTGCCCGACATTTTCAAACCACGTGGTGGAATATCACAAACGGCCGTTTTACAATTATTAGGGATCCATTCGACAAAGTAGCTGCTATTTTTATTTTGAATGTTGAGCATTTGTTCGTCCACCTCTTTCATGGACATTCGACCACGGAATACAGCAGCCACTGTCAAGTATTTTCCATGTCTTGGATCACAGGCGGCCATCATGTTCTTTGAATCGAACATTTGTTGTGCCAATTCTGGCACCGAAAGTGATCGATATTGTTGTGATCCACGAGACGTGAGTGGAGCGAAACCGGTAATGAAGAAATGAAGACGTGGAAATGGTACCATATTCACAGCCAATTTACGTAAGTCGGCATTCAATTGGCCAGGGAATCGAAGACATGTAGTGACACCACTCATAGTTGCTGACACAAGGTGATTGAGATCGCCATAAGTAGGCGTTGACAGTTTCAATGTACGATAACAAATATCGTAGAGTGCTTCGTTGTCAATACAAAACACTTCGTCTGTGTTCTCGACGAGTTGATGCACGGACAATGTGGCATTGTATGGCTCGACGACGGTATCAGATACCTGCGAAAAAAATTGATAAAAAATGAGAAAAATTGAGTACAAATAGAGTATTGCTTTAAAATACCTTTGGAGAGGGCACGATTGAAAATGTCTATTATAAGAAATAAAAATAAAATAAAATGTAAAAATCGCGTTGATAAGTAATAGAGGATAATAAATTTGCAATTACCATCATGATCCGATCTGGATATTCCTCGCGGATTTTTGAAATGAGCAACGTGCCCATGCCAGAGCCAGTACCTCCACCAATCGAATGAGTGAATTGAAACCCCTTCAAAGGAATAAAATCAATGTAAATGTCTCTTGTCTCAATTTCGAGCGACCGATCAAAGTACTCATTTTAACCAAATCACTAAATGACCAGTTTTATTTCTTCAAATTATAAATTATAAAATTGCTCAAAATATTAACTGAAATTACCTGTAAGCAATCGCAATTTTCTGCTTCCTTGCGTACAACGTCCAACACTGAATCGACCAATTCGGCTCCTTCTGTATAATGTCCTTTGGCCCAATTATTTCCAGCACCAGATTGTCCAAAAACGAAGTTATCCGGCCGGAAAAGTTGACCAAATGGTCCTGAACGCACACTGTCCATAGTGCCTGGCTCCAAATCAATAAGAACAGAGCGTGGCACATATTTTCCGCCAGACGCTTCGTTGTAATAAACATTTATGCGTTCCAATTGTAAATCACTGTCGCCATAATATGTGCCGGTTGCATCAATTGAATGCTCGTCCGAAATTACCTCCCAAAATTTTGCTCCGATTTGGTTTCCGCATTGTCCAGCTTGCATGTGAACGATTTCACGCATCTTGAAATTTAAAGAGTTATTCTTTTATAGTAAAAAATGTTTTTTCAACTGCTCTTTTAAAGCTACGTGTTCAGTATTCAAAGTATTGACTGCAAATGGTAATTGCTTTACTAAAACGATCTGATTGATTTAAAAAAATATCATACGCAAGGCTAACTCAATTGTATAAAGCTGTGATATTTGTAAAAAAATCGGTTGTCTCTAACAACGATCAGCAATGGCTGGTTTTTAAATGTTGTCTTTTTTCTGACATTTATAGAAAAGGCAATTCGATTTTGGTCATCGTAATTTTTATCACTATTGAACAGCACTATATCCTTAATCACATCTACAAGCAAAGTTTAATTGGTTAATATAATTTGCGCATACAATTCGTACATTTTACAATATGAAATATGTTGGCTTCTACTGAAATTTTTTATTGAATTTTTGATTAAAAAATTGAATGGAATTGTTGATGAAAAGAGAGCAAAGCCAGAGAAAGAGAGAGAGATAAATGTTCCAAAAAATATCAACGTTCATTTGGAAGACTGGACACTGTTTTGACAGCTCCTTAAATCATTTCAAATTCTGTACGTTAACAATCACTTCTTGTATGTAAATAAAATGTGTAAATGTATGTAGAAGAGCTCAAAATATGTTATTTTATTTGCTTTACCACTAGATAAACAATAAAAATGTAAATGTTGATTTTTTTCTGTTCAAAAATAAACAAACTCATCGTCCATTTCACAGTTAGTACTTTGGTTGAATTAGTACTGTGGCGATCTTTTAGCTATTGCATCAGTCCAACACATGCAGACAACACCAAACTCCTTTTAGCACTAAAGTCACCAAACTGAATTTTGCTGATTCATATATCTGTGTATCGTCGACTGTGTTTCAAACAACTCAAGCGAATTCTTGTTGCATACGTTGCGCATCGAAATCAAATTGAATTATAATAATTATTTTTAATTATTGAATTTGTGTGTTTCAAAATACAATCAGCCTGTCATTGCATTTCTAATTCGACCATTTGAACGGGAAAACGGTAAATAATTAAAAATTATTTCTTATACGCATCGACTGTGTAGAAATATATCTTCAAAACTATTCGTTCATGAATTGCGCATTATTGGGATATGAAAATGTCTCAACAGACGCCATTTTTCTCTCAAGAGAAAAATCTATAAAAAGGTCAAAACGAACCAATCTATTGAAGAAAAAAACTTCGGCCGTCCAGTTTTCTCTTGAATATATATTTTAAAAAATTATTTTTCAAACTTTTTTTCAAGTTTTTTATATTTTTTCCCTCTTTTTTCTTAATCACGATTAAGAGTTTGACTGCAGTTTAAGTCATGGGAACCAATCAAAGTAATGAGCCAAAAGTTGTTAAGTGCGACACCATTTCAAAGTTTGTCAACTCATTGAAACTGATTGTCGATGCAGACGACCAACGTATTGTGTTGAAACAAATGAACTTTTCTAAGCCGATCAAGAATCTTCCCATTGTACGAGGCATACAAGCGGTCACTTTTATTGATTCATTCATCAAGAATGACAGTATTTTGCGGTTCAATGACTGGTGCCCGAACGTCACCGAACTGGCTTTCTTTCGTGTGAAGTTTTCGGAAAGTGTTTACGAAGAATTCGCTGATTCTTTGGGAAGCGAGGATCAATTTCCAGCAGTCAAAACGTTTACTTTTGACTATAAAAATTACATGGAAGGGCTGGACGACTTTCTTGAGGCAATGGATAAAAAGTTCCCAGCACTTGAAAGCCTGACATTATTCGTGGATGTAGCTGATGATCTTGACAGCTTCGAGCCAATGTGGGACACTGAATTTTCTCATCTTCCGGAGTTCTTCGAAAATTTGAAAACATTGTCACTGACTTGTTTTTTCGATGAGGGTGATCGAATCTTTGATTTCATTGGCATTCACAATGAGAAACTGGAGGAGCTGTCATTCACTTCGATGTTGTTCACCAAAGATAATCAAAATTGGACCAAAAATTGCCCACAGTTGCGCAAATTGGCGCTCAAATGCTGTTACATTACGAACGGAAAAGAACTCAAACATTTGAAAGGAATGGACAAGTTGGAAGAGCTACATTTGTCGATGCGAAAGATCGAATGGGATCCAAAGAATATGATTGAGTTCATTCGGAATATTGGACAAGGACTAAAGGTGCTTTCCATCGATTGCGAACGCAACAATAAACAGTTCAAGTTCGATGACGAATTCAAAAATTTATTCAATGTGTTGGCCGAAGAACGTGCCGATATGGTGATTAAGGTACAGTTTGGAAGTGATGAGCCCAAGCGATGCTTGGAAATTTCGAGAGGATGTTGCAGTGAAACGTCGCCAGGTGATTTGGACGATGATTCGGACGATGATTCAGAGGACGATGACGAATCCTATTATATTGCAGAAGATTCGTCATTGTGGGCAGATTCTGATGACGATGATGACGACGAGGATGAGTCATCAACTGAGGAAGAGGAAGAATAAACGTGGTCATGTACATGGAGACCAAAGGTAACGACGACGAGTAAAAAACTGACTGGTTGATCCACAGCATGTGACGAATAAAAGCAATCAAAACCACAATTCATTTTAAGAAAAATTGAAAATCTAAAAAAAAAACAAATTTCCGTAGATTAGAATTCAATACTAAAAAGTTTTCGAAAACTTTACCAATTATAATTTAAAAGAAGAAAATTCGTCAAATTAAACAAAGTATTTTACCCAAGCCATGCATTGGCATTAATTCATAGGAATCAATATTTTTTTCTATAAGTATTTTATAATGTTTTTGAACATTGTTCTTCAATTTACTCAATGTCAATAAAGAACAGTTCTTCACACAAAAAATATAAATATTTTTCTTATCGGGACAGACCCTCGATTAAGTTAGATTCAAAAAATGGAAAATATTTGCAATTTCAGCTAAAAACCGCTTTGCATGAGTATAAATTCCAACTAAAAACATTTTCAGTGGAATTCGGGAGCAAAAAAAATCAGATCTCGGTAAGAATAGAAACACCTTGGCATATTCTTCTGATTCTCTTTTATTTAAAAGCTTATTTAATTTATTTAAAAACGAATGGATCTCTAGGGGGTAGACACAAATTAAAATATTAAAAAACTGACCATAAGAAAAATTTGGGCTTATTGTATCCTATCAAATGTACACATTATATGCGATTTACTAAAAAAATAGGAAAAATGAGCAATATTAGAGCCCGTGTCTCCCCACTAGATGGATCTATCATTATCAAAACCCTAACAGCATCTGTGTGTTCTAACCCAATAATTGTGTAATACGTTCCATGTTATTGGCATAAACCGAATGAACTGGTATTAAATTTTTGTCTTGTAATGCAATATGCAGATGTTTCATGGTGATACGGCCATTGACGGGTGTTTGATGATTTGTTTCACACGCCGATAAATAGAATGAATCGTCGTTCATGCGATGCATAAGACTGGTTGACGACACCTCTCTATCGACCTCAAATGGAAAATCGTCGATAGTTTGTCGCGTTGCTGTGTTTTGTGTGTATGGATTTTTGTATTCACAACCAACATCATAGAAAAATCCACCAGAACCTGTTGTACGATAGTCTTTGCGCGCTATTATCACTGCCGTCAGAAGGTTCTTCAGTAATTTCTGTTCGAAAAACAAATATTTTAGATTTTTTTTTTTACAAATTAATGTACATCGAATAGTTGTCGTTACCTGTACACCGAGCACGAGCATTTCGGAAATGTCATCATCAGCAGTTGTCAGACCATTTTCCCATGCCACAACCAAAAGTCGGCCCAAAATCAAACTGGTATCTGGTAAAAACAGCTCTTCCACAGCAAATCGTGGTTGATGCAATGGTGTGTTAGTTGGTGGTCGTGCCTCTTCACTTTCTTCTGGCAAATAATCATATAAATCAACCGGTTCGAACACTGACCGCTCACTTCCTGTTCGACGTTTTCGTTTCCTTCCGGCAACACTTTTGGGCGATGAATCGCTTTGCATTGGCAATGTGATCTTATTCAAAATTGCCAAGAAAAATTCATTGTGCAAGTGCCGTTGTTCCATTGTGAATAATTTTCGACACTCCATATCAAATTGTTCTTTCGTCCAAACTTTACGAAACCAGAGTTTCAAATAGGATAAGTAAATTTTTGTAGATGAATCACCCAAACATTCACACAAACGATCCTTTGCTGTTAATAATCGATTATCTTCGGGCGACGACATTTTTCACGGGATGATTTTCTGGATTTTTTTGGACGAAAAATAGTTATGAGTATCGAACAAGTTTGCTTGAATTCAGTAAAATACACATTATAAGAGCATGACATTTCATTTGTTGCATGAAAATGTCATGTTAAAGTTGGGACACGGACACCAGGTGGTGCTGTTGTCGGACTTTGAATAAGAAATAAAATTTGAACAAAGTATAAAAATAAACACATTTCCTATTTGAAAAATAGCAATATATATATTTTTTTATGTATTTATGTTATTGGTATATATATTTTTATTTTTTGAGTCTTCGAAGACAATTTATAAGTAAAAAAATCCAAATCACCAAATGAATATCAAGTTTCATGTGTTAAAGCTTGGAAAACACTGGTTTCTCTCCTTTCGTTGCCTGTGCCATACATGCAGCTATAAAATCTTCACCTTGCAAATTCAATCGATTGATTTCACGCTGAAAATACAACAAAAATACAAAGTTTTGTTTGATGTTAATATTACCATTGAATTGAGTTTAGTTCAAATTGCATACACAGCTGCATTAAATGATTGTAACTCACAATTTGATCGAGCCCCTCTTGATTTGTGTGCTCAAGTGAATAAACCAAATTCTTCTTTGTCGCTTGCACTGCAACTGGACTCTTACTCGCTATTTCCTCTGCCAATTTAATCGATTCATTGATCAGTTCATCACGACTGCTAAATATCTACGTTAAAACATAAAAGTTTCCCAATGTTAACTGACTTCAATTTGAAGAAGGAGATTTTGACATTCAAATTTTGAACTAATTTTTGGTAACTAACCCGGCTCACGAAACCAAATGAAAGTGCTTCTTTGCTATCGAATTTTCGTCCAGTGAAACAGAGTTCTCGCACTAAACTTTGATTACCGACAACTTTACCTAAACGTTGTAAGGCACCGACATCTGCAGCCAAGCCAAGGTCGATCTCTTTTACTGTAAACCAAGCATCTTCGGTGCAATAACGAATATCGGCAGCCGTAACTAAACTGGCGCCAGCACCAATACAGGCTGAAAATAAAAGTTTCCTAATGTTAACAGACTTCAGTTTTAAAGAGGAGATTTTGAATACCTGAGTGAATAGCGGCGATAACCGGCTTTGTACACACCTCTAACGATGAAATTGCATCCTAACCATGAAAAAACAATATGAAAACCTTTCCATGGATAACATTGATTGATTGTACCTGATATGTTTTGATTTTCTTGTCCAAAAAATGGCCCTTTCGAGCTGTGTCTTCGATTTCGGCCAGTTGTTGAGCCCATGACATCGATTCTTTTAAGTCCAAACCAGCTGTAAAATATTTACCCGACCCACTCAAAACGATCACTCGACAGTCTGGATTCATGCTCAATGCTTCGAAACAGTCTTTAAGTTCGCTAAAACCAGATCAAGTATCGAGATTGATTATTTGATTTCTATTTTCCGACCATGTTAAATACGACTTACGTCCACAGTGCGTGACTGAATGCATTGAATTTCTCTGGTCGATTCAATTCGACTTGTGTAACAAATGGTTTTGGTTGGGTCAGTGCCAAGGTTTTGTAAGCTGTTCCACTCATTGCACGCACTGTAAAATAAACAAACAAAGAGATAAGTACACGAATTGAAAATCATTGTATTTTATGTAAAAAAATTATTTTATTACCAAAATTGGTTTTAATTGCCGAATTAAAACCGGATTTGACAGCACTTCTAAACATTATCTGCAGTTAATCCAATGAAAACAAAATTTAATACGAAATTTGGACGACGAGTTGTTTTTTTGGCAAATGAAAACGATATACTTTCACCGTTTATAAGTCAAAGTCCATATATAACAACAAACCGGTGACAAGTAAGTGAAAAAAAATAAACTTCACTATATGGTACAAAGAATAAATTGAGACATGTAAACACTTGGAATGTGCATAACGCGACGTTAATTTGCGTCAAAAAACGGAGCAAGCTCAATGTATTCATTTGACTTTGACAGTTCCGAGCGAAAATCAATGTTCATAGTGTTTGTTCATAAAATCGTCACAACGAAATTCATTCAGGTGCTTGCAGGCCGAATCGATCTCTAAAATATTTACATAATTTTTCTTCTGATTGAAAGCAGACAATTGACACGATGGAGGTAAAGTTTTCAAAATGTTTTGGAGATTTGACAAAAATGAATGAATTTCTTTGTATTTCACCGCAGATTGATCACGATATTCCGCGGCTGCCAGTTGACACAGAAAGCTATAAATTCAATGGCGATTGGGATATTGTTTACCATAAGTCACATATTTTGAAGTCAATGTGCACAAATAATCACAAATGTATTAAAGATGATCCGGGATGCTGTGAACTGTGCTGGTGAGTTCTTCTTTTTTTTAAATACAGAAGTGTGATTCAATTTGTTTACAGTATTCCAATTGCTTTTTGTAATGTAGCTACGAATTCAAATTGGAATTGCCACACTTACCTGAGATGGTGTTTTCAAAGAATAATCTTGTATTGACACACAAAAATGGTGCACGCATCGAATTCAATCCGTTGGATGCACTGGCCAGAGTTAAAAATGGTAAATCATCGATTCGTGTTGCATGTGCCGATGAATGGAAAAGCAGTCGTGACGACGCAGCCAATATGCAAGAGATTAAGCCGTTCGATTGGAGTTTTACGACCGATTATCAGGGCACATACAACGATAAAATTCGATGCGAAGACACCGACGCCAAACTAAACATTTTTAAATTGATGCAAAAGGAACGAATTCTATTTTATCATGATCTCAGCCTATTTGAAGATGAATTACATGACCATGGTATTGCTGCTTGCTCGGTAAAAATTGTAAGTGCAAAAGTCTGAGGGTCAAATTTTAAAATTGGAAAGTCAGAGCAATATTTTTGCCGCTACAGGATATATTTTCTTGTAATTGAACGTTGACATGTCATTTTTGAATTTCATTTTAGCGCGTTATGCCGTCTGGATTTTTCATATTGCTATCGTATTTTCTACGAGTGGATGGTGTACTAATACGCATGAATGGAACTCGTTTTCACTATGAAATTGGCAATAATTATATTTTGAAAGAGTACACGTCAAGAGAAGCAAAATTCGAAAGTATTAAACATGTAAGTAAAGTCGGTGGTGTTCATCCATTTAGCCAAAATGAAAAACTAATGATTTTTTTCCTCTTTACTCTTGTTGACAGCTTCCCCCGGCCATTTACACAACGCCAAGCGAAATCGAAAAGCATTTAACTATCACATTGAAGAAAACACAAAAGCTATTTTTCGATTAGATGAAGTAAGAATTGTTCAAAATTGTGATTCACTCCCTCAAAATTACGCTGATGCAAGTGAAAATTGTACTCTAAAATATGAAACTTTAAATTTTAATTAAACGCATAACGTAATTCGTAAATAGAGTGTTTTTATTTTGAAATAATCTTTTTATTATAATAACAATTCATAGGAGCCATCATAGAGTATGGTATGATTAAAAAGTATCAACGATTTAGAATAGTAATACAATATTATATAGAAGGGTGTCATTCTGGTAGCTGCAATTTAGACATCACCGATCAAAGCGCACAGTGCCTTCTTGTAATCGCCAGATGTTTCACTCTGTAATTATCAGAAAGTCAGAAGTTACATTTAGTTACAGGTCAGATCAGTTCCCGGCTTTCAAGCAAATCATACCCGAATTGCACTCAACAAAGTACGATTGTATTTCCGTTCAAATTCCACCTTAATATCATTCAAATCAATTTCAGATCGCGAGACAATGATTCGAATCAATGTTGAATCGTCTGTACCCATACCTTTCATGGCACCATACAAACGTGTAGCAAAATATTCGACAGGCGATTGAATGCATTCCACTGAAAAAAGTTATAAAATCTAAAAACTCTTCTTAAATAAATATTCCAATACTAACCAATGGCTTGCATCGCCTCGGCCAATTCGCCGCTAAGTTCGTGCTTGATTGCCTGTTCGATGGTATTGCCTGAGAGTTGTTTGTATTCATCGAAGACCAATCGTAGTTGTTCGAAGCTGGCGTGTGCCAAGATTCGATTAAAAACGTCCTCATCAGTTCCCAGTTTCGATTCACCGGCTTCGTATAATTTGGCTGCTTGTTCTTTGGCTAAGGCACTATCAACATTTCCACTTTCATCGCGAGCACCAATCAATATCAGCGTAAGCAACCGTCCAAAGTGACCGGATGTCTCACTGCAAACGTGTTCAACCAGCGGCCTTTCATACATATCTTCGTATGTGGTTACAATTTCTTTGATTTCATCATTGGTTTTGGAGCATAGAATTTCAATCAAAACCGATTCTTTGGTACCAATCCCATTCATTGCTCTTTTCAGCTCTTTGCAGAGGTACGAAACATTTGGAAACATCAAAGCAACAATAAGATCTTCAAATTTTCCCCCGAGTTCACTTTTCAAGTCTTGAATCAAGTCACGACCAAATTCACTTAAAAAGTATTGAATGATGTCTTGTCGCTGTGCATTCGAACGAGCCGTTAAAATTTCAATAATCACCTCTTCGTTAGTACCAAATCCTTTCATTGCATCGCGCAAGGCATCTCCATCAGCAGACGGGGAGTGATTCGCAACAGGAACAACGGTTGGCGATAGCTATTATTCAACAAAGATTTATTCATGACTTTCAATCAGGTGGAGTATCGTATTTGACTGAACTCAACTCAATTTTTTTGGAAACTGAAAGACTCCACTTGTCAGTTCCATATAAATTCCAGCTGAGCTCGGCCAATTGAGCAATTTTGAATGGTTAAAAATATACTATAGTGTAATTTGTGGAAAATTAGTGCTTAATGCACAATCAGTGCATTTGAGCCAACCAAGCACATCCGTTTTATATAATTTAGCAAAAAAAAAATTCTTAGTGACACCGAACTGGACAAAAAATGTTTTGCAAAAATATTTCAGATTCAGCAAATCGAATCTGAAATATTTGAAAATAAAAAAGAATGAAAAAATGTACCTTTGAGTTAACCATGATTTCTTCCGCGACCAATCACTTTGAGAAAATAAAGAATTTCGTTGATTTGCTGATTTTTTGTGTTCGTGTACTGAAATCACGTATGATGTACGTCAATATGAGTCAGCGCTGGTACATTACAAGTACATACGGAAAGTAATCATATAAGCATCTTTTTTGCATCTAAATTTAATATTGTTTATGTGTGCGCGAGAACGAAGACATCTTATATGCATATATTCGTGACCAATTGTTGGACAATCACAAATGCAAATTAAGTTAAAACAAGCATGTACCGGTATCTCAGTGTGGATGGATTATACTTTGAATTGAAAAAAAAGCAGACAACGCGGTAAAATCATATGACGCACTAAATCTATTAACAAAACAGCAATTATCTTAAAACGGGTTTGTTTATTCGTCAAAATCGGATTCTATTAACCTTTTTTCCAGTTCATATCCTTGGACTTTTGAATTTAGAAATATTCTTTTTTGGCATTTCTATTTTTAGATCGAATTATTCCATATCGGCAGACCTACGATTTTGTCTCGGTGTCAAATATTCTAATGAGAATCATTCGAATTTGAATTGCCGCCAAAGCGCAGCGTGCGCTCCAAAAAATTGATTCAATTTAAAATTGCTACACATTTCGATGTAGTTTTCCGTTTAAAATTTCGAAATAAATACCAAAACAAGTCCTGTTCATAGTGTTTCGGATGCATGATCAGTCTGAAATAATCAAATATTCTCTCATTTGCAAAAAAAAAGGGATTTTTTTTCGCAAAGAACATTAAAAAAAAACACCGTAAATACGTTGCTGTGCGGTAAAAGTAAAAAGTGTTTTATTGAGTGCGAAGCCGAAAAATTAACGCATCCAATACATATGCAGTCCATGCGCCCAGTCAAATTCTTCATCGGCTGTGAGTGTATATGTGTGCGCGATATTGAGCAAAACGCATGCGCCAGCCATTCGCTGTAGGGAGTTTCAAAATACAAACATTTGACAGTAGTTTTGATACTCTTTTTTTGGCTCGTTCTATGTGCTATTGCCGTGTCTCAGTGCGTTCGGTTTCGCCGACGGCATTTTCATATATTTCTCCGCTCTTCGCAATGGACAGAGATCTCATGCAGTCTCTCTGTGTGTGTATGTAAAGCATCATTGTATTGGATTGGTGTTAGTTACTGTTTCATATAGGAGGCATTGCACAAATACGTGCACAGTGGTACGCGAACAGTGAGGCACAGCCAGTGTATCGGTAGAGTGAAAAAAAACGCAAAACCCGAAAAAAAGTTTTATTGTTGTTTCTTGTGTGTCGAAAGTGTGTTTAAAAAAAGAACCATATTCTAAGTAGAAAAAAAGTGCGAAAAAAAAACAACTTTTAACGAGTAAACTGGTGAACTGGGAAACGGGCGAAAATTTATTGTGCGGAAATTTATGTGTGCAATGTAAAAAAATTTTTGGATTGAATTCAGGTGCGTCTTGATTTCAATAAGCAGCTCAAAAATTCAATTTTTAATTATACAGCGGAAAAATGTGCAAACTTTTAATATGAAACATACCGACAACGACTCTGTTGAAATACAAATGAACGCATTTTGTAATTTATTTCATTTTTTGCTCGTTGCTCTGACTTTGATTTAGCGGCGCTAGCAAAACGCATACACAACAGACCATTCTGGTCGTTTTACTCTCGCTTTCTGGTGACGGCGCTTCGCAATAACAATAACTCTAACGGTGGCCGTTTTTTAAATATGAAGGAAATGTTTTCTTTTTTTCTTCTGAAAAATTTCGGCATTAATTTGGTTTCATTCTCAATCGTTTTCGATACAAATGTGAATTTCAATCCATAGAACCGCGTTTAGTACGATTAGTGTGTTATATCGCAATAAAAAAAACAATGCTAATTTTGTGCAATGGTAGTCAGTAGTTGTTAGCCAAAAAAGTGCGTTGAATATAAAGCCACCACAAAAATTGGCGGCTTCATTAGATGTGCTGTAAATCATTTTCGTTTAAAATATTTTTCGAAATTCGGCCTTTTCTCTCCCTCTCTCTCTCTCTCTCTCTGGCTTCGTTTCATCCAACCAAAACCGAAAATGAAACATACAATTCACAATGCAAGAAGTAGAGGGCGAAAAGTGAAAATTATGAGCACATCAACAAAATAAATAATTTCTTGTTGTTGTTGTTTTTGCATGTATGCATATTCGCGAGACAGAGGCCGAGAAATTGAAAAGAAAGAGAGATAGAGAGAATATGGTTGTTGTTGTAAGTTTTTTTCTTCTTTATTTTGCTCCCACAGACGGTATTATAAATGCACGGCTATATTATGCTATATAGCAAAGCGCGGTGCTATATAAATATTTGTTATATGTCTATATCATTGTGCATACAACAATTTTATATTTTCATATAGTATAGCAACTCACCGATTCGGTTCGTTTTTTTTCTCTTCTCTTCTCTTCTCTCTTTTATTATTACGTTTATTCCATTCTACACACTGAATGCATGTATAAGCCGACGACGGCTACGACCACGATTCAGCTTACGAACATAGAGAAACATCATCGAAACATTTTTTATATATATATAGCACGTATATTTATACCGTGTGTGTACATGTACTGATACAGAAAATTCACGGTTTCGGTTTAACATGGGCAAAGACGACGCAATGAGAGACTTTTATTTTGCCTCATTTTCTTCGCTTGTTCGCTCGGTGATCGTTTTGGGTTCGCTATTGCTAATGCCGTTTTGTGTTATTGTTGTTGTTATTGCTGTTGTTGGTGTTGCTGATGCCGTCGTTGTTCTCGTTATTGCTGCCGTTGTTCGCGTATTTCGTCCGTCTTTTATTCGATTACACTTTGTCTTTTTTGCTCAAGTCGTCAGATTCGGTTGGGTCGGGGCTGCGATAAAGTAAGAGAAAGAGAGAATGAGTGTAGATGTGTATGCATGTGTTAAATTTCTTATTTCATTTTATGCCTTTTTCGTTTTGTGCTATGTGTTGATTTTGTATGTGCGTTGTTTTTCTTATTCTGCTTCGATGGTCTTTTTTTCTATTCTTTCTTGTTATTTTTTTTTCTTCTCTTCATATTATTGCGTTCTCCGTCTATCAGACAGTGTTGAATGTGTGTTTTTTTTTTCTCTACGTCGTTCTTGATATTTATTTATTTTGTTATGTTTTTTTTTCGTTGAATTTTGTATGATTCTCGTCAGTGAGTAGTTATTGTTGTTGGTGGTGCTGCTACTGCCGCTTATTTTTTTTAGGCCTTTCATGTAGAATATGTGAATGGTTTTATACACATTTATTTTTCACAATTTTACTTTTTTTGTCGTCGTAGTCGCTGTTATTGGATTTTTTTCTCTCTTTCTCGTTCATTCCATTTGGGCTCTTTCTCTTTTCTGTCGTACTTTCATTCGCATCGCATTTAAATTGTTGTGCGTGCTTGTTTGGTCCTTTGACTCGAGAATGCCAAAGCATGCAATGTGTGTACCCTTTCTATTCAAGAACCGCGTAATCCAAAAGTCGTACACACATTCAAATGACTACATACACTTTGGGGATTTTTCCCTGTAGCGTTTTCAAAGCATCTACACTGTTGTCTATCCAATTTCAATGTCCAGATATAATTCGAAACGTAGAGAAACAAAAAAAATAAAGATTCAAACAATACACATCCTGACAAAAAGTAGCGCGAAGCCGGCTGATACGTCACACAGCGAAAATAACAAATCATAAATTCGGAAGGGGGCAAAGCGGAATTCGAATTAGATGTGAATTATCCTATCGAACAGACTATATACTTGTACTTATATTCAAAATGATGTTCGACACTCTTCGTTTGGTCAATTTCAATCAAGCGAGCGCGCCAGAGAACACTCGCTCATTCTCCATACACACACCTTCAAAATATGTACAATTGCTCTGCGGCTCTTTTTCATTTGTCCACTTTGCGCGAAATGCGCGTCAATGCGTGCGTATGTGTGTGCATGCATAAAAAGTATGGATGCGAATGAGATGAGTGTCTTGATGTTTGCTGCTTTTTTTAACATTCATTTTGAGACTTAAAAATAAGCAAAGATCAACAGAGAAAAAAAAATAAACAACGAAACGAATTACAACGCACCGAAAGAGAGGGAGAAATACAAATCCCAAAGAGAATCGTTATACCTGTGAATAAAGAAAAAAACAACATAGAAGCAACGATAACAACAACTACATCAGCAACAACAAAATTAAACATTTTTTTCGTAAAATGTAAAAAAAGCGAACGCAAGAGATAGACAAACAGATTAAAAAAAACGAACTACAACGAAAATGTTATGTACGCGCGCGGTATGGACGATCTATCTATATTTGCTTGTTGTTGTTGTTTTTTTTTCATACATTTCGTTCTCTGCGTTGTTTTGCCTTTTTTCCATCTCTCTTTTTTTTCGACGAACAACAAAAATATACGCATTCACGAAACCAAAAGGAGCTAACAAGCGCACAAGCGTTTAGAACATCACAAAACAGCGAACGAAAAAAAATTCAAGATAAAGATCGAGAGAGGGAGAGCAAAGAACACACATGAAAAAAAAAATATTTTTAATCTTCATTATTCCGTATTGCATTCATCCAAAACGAAAAGATTTACTAATTTTGGATTCATCTACATCATCACATTCTTCGTGCTGGTTGTTATTTTTTTTCGTTTGTGTTTCTCTATCCGTTTTTAGAATTTGTTTTTGCTTTTTGGAAAAAGCATCCCAACTTTTGCTTGGGTCTATAGCACTCGATCTCGACGGTTGAACAGCATAAAAATGCAAGAAATATCCAGTATTTTACTGTATATCGTACGAAGTGTACGTTGTTCAGTTCGTTAAAAATAAAAATAAAAAATAAACTCATTAAAAATAGCGACAAACGCGAATTACAAAAATCATTCTAAAAATACATCAATTTGATATTACGGAATATTTACAAGTTACCGGGTAACAGTTCACAAACGTATGTTGAGTGTGAGTCAGTTGCTGCGATCGTGTTTACATATTTTGTGCGCGCTGATTACGTGCCGGATAATTAAAAAAAAAACGACAACGTCGTCACATCCATAAATGATTTTTCGCGGTCAATGTAAATTGTGTCGTGCAATTTCGAAATTTACATGACTGGTCGTTGAGCGAGAGAGAGAGAGAGAGAAACAGGAAAAAATTCCTTTTTTTTCTGGAAGTGGTTGACTATGCATTTAAGTCACTCATGTAAATATTTGATGATTATAAATAATCTACCTGTAAATATCCCAAGTTGAAAAAAAAAAACAAACGATCAAAACAATAACATACTTCAAATCTAATCTTGCTGCAATTGAAAACATGATTGATGATTACAGCGACGATGTATTGGTACTTTTGGTTAATGTATTATATATTTATGAGTGTGAGTGTAGGTTCGTGTGTGATTGTCTTAAATCGGTTTATGTATCGCTACATGCACACACAAAGTGGAGGAGTGTCGCGATGCGAATTGCTAACATTTTTTATGAATCAAAATTTTGGCGGTATTTAGACGCTCAATTGTAATTGTATTCGGCTATAAACAGCCATTCGGTTGCTATATTATCGCTGTTTTGATGTTGTTTTTCTGTTTTGTTTTTCGGTTCTGTTATTGCGCAAATATTCCAATATTGTGAGCTCGTACATAGTAAACGGTGTTGAAAATATTGCGCGTCATTGCGTATCACTGAGCTATCTTTTTTTAAATGCGATTCACATTTAATTCAATGAATATTATCGAATCCGGAGATACAAATTGATAAACCTAACCTCATAATATACAAACATACATATAACGCCAATTTGGAATGATAAAATATATGTGGCAAATTTCAACGCAACGTTTCAACACTTGGGTGATTGTTTGATATGCAATTACCAGGCATCCATATATATTTGCCAAATTTGTGTGCAAAAATGAAGTGACACAGTGCGCCGTTTGCCCTGTATGTTAGCCTGCGTCGCTCGATTCCGGGGACATACTCAATAGAACTTTGTTGAAAAACCGATTAAAATAACAAACTGGCGCGCAAACGCTCTGCAAAATGTTTACTTTGGATAATGAAAAATAAACAATTCGTATTCGATACTACAGTGATGTCTTCACAGTTTGTGGTTTCTCCTAAAGATTACTCTTCGACAGCTTTCCATGGCAATTCGAACTTGGTCGCTTGCAAAGGAAGTGTAAATTCATTTGTTGACGACTTTCTTCTCATTTGGCATCATTTGAACCGGACGAAATTAAAAGTGTTTTTTGTTTTGAAACGATTTTTTTCTGGGATTCTAAATAATTTTGAACGAAAAAAGTTGCAACGTCAAAATTACTAATATTTAATCGTTTTTTTTTATTGCAGATTGATTGAACCGAAGAATATCACAGCGAATCTATTGAGACGTTTGAAGAAATTGCAATTTATTGCATTAAGCCAATAAAATGCAGGCGGTCGTTGGTGATGTGAGAAAGGGCGATGCAGCGGTGAGTGTGAAATGCACTTCGATATTTTATTAAACATTAAATTTTCAAAAATGCAGAATTTCTTTCAGCTGGCATACGAACTGGAGAAATCATTGCAAAATGTGGACGTAAGTATTTTTTTTTTTTTTTTCAAAATCACGTTGAAATTCTGTGGTGTTCTATTGAATTTCATTATTAAAATCAAATTTTGTTCGTCGCATATTCTGATGGATTCTTAAATTTATGTTGTAACAGCAAGAACAATTGATGTACGGTGAAGAGGGAACGTGTACTTTGTGCTCGAAAACGTTTGCCAGAAAATCATCGTTACTAACTCATATTCGGAATCACACAGCTGAACGAAAATACCAGTGTCCAACTTGTCAAAAAAGTAAAATCAATAATACTCTCGTAAAATATTCAGATCGATTTGATGACGTGCTTTTTTCACACTTATTCTCTATTCTCTTTCGATATTTTCATTTATAGCATTCACACAAGCGGCCAATCTACGGAATCACGAACGAATCCATTCACAAGTGCGTCCGTATGTATGTGGCGATTGTGGCAAAGCATTCACGCAAATCACAAATTTGAATGTAAGTGTTTATGCAATATAAAAATAGTAATTTATTACACTCATCAACCGAGACTCAGTGTTTTTTTTCGGCAGAATTGTACAATTTATTAAACACTCAAAAGGAATTTCCAACCATATTTTTAACTGAAAAAAAATGGCAAAGATTTTTAATCTGTGTATGTTGTTATTCTCTCCTATAGAATCATCGTCGATTGCATACTGGCGAGCGTCCGTTCGTTTGTATTGAGCCTGAATGCGGCCGATCATTTGCACAAGTAAGTAGAAAATTGCAAATAAATTGAATCAAACTGAAAATCTAATGCATTTTGTTATCATTCGATTTGTGTTTAGGTTACTAATTTGAATAACCACATGAAATCTCACCACAAAATCCAGCAATATGTTTGCAATCAGTGTCCGCGTCGTTTTACGCAAGTGACTTCATTAAATCAACATCTTCTATTGCATAGCGGTTTTAGTGGTTTGGTGTGTCCTCAATGTCCCGATAAAACGTTCAAGCAACAAAATCAATTGCAACAACATATGAAATCGCATGGTTTAAGTTTTCCTTTCGAATGTACAAAATGCGATGAAAAATTCTTGCAGGCAGCACATTTCAATCAGCATTTGGCATTGCATGAAGAATTCAAATTCCGATGTACAATGTGTTCGAGCAGTTTCAATCAGGAAGCATTGCTGAAAAAACACATGCAACGACACATTGACGGTCGTTATCATCAATGTCCCGAATGTTCAAAAGGATTTACGCTAAAAAATCAACTAAATAAGCACATACAATTGGAGCATGCAAGCAGCGAGGCAGCTCGTTTGTTGAATAAAAAACGCACATCAACCGTTGCCGGCAAATTCAATTGCTACTTTGATAATTGTGATGCTTATTTTGACACAAACGATTTGCTGAACACGCATTTGAATAATGTCCATGGATTGGCACTAATTAAAAGTCAAAATGCTGGCACCGTCAATCAGGAAGGTGGCCATGGTGGTGGTGGTGGTGGCGGAGGCGGCGGAGGTGGCCGCAGCAAAAAGCAAAAGGCACAGTCTCATGCACAAAATATGTTTGCCGAGCAGCTAAAGATTAAGGAAGAAGAATCGCATCATCATGTCCAACAGCAGCACGTACCGTTATCCTTGCCGCTTGGAATTTCGTTACCATTACCGCCATTTATGAATGGCAATGGTTCGTTACAGGCACAAAATCAACATATGCCACAAATGAACGTTATGTTACAGCATGCCCATCAACAGGTACAGCAGCACATTCAACAACAACAACAGCAGCAGCAACAACAACAACAACAACATCATCCGCAAAATCACGCTCATGCCATAAACATATCGAAAGAGAAAAACAAGTGCCACGAATGTAATATTATCTATTCAAATGAAACCGATTACAAGGTTCACATGTACTACAAACACTTCACAAATGCCAATAAAATGTAAACCCGATCGATGGAGCACAGCTATTTTGTCTTTCGTTTTAACGAAAACCAAGAATTATCGAAGAAGCGCGCACTCTTTCATTTCCGACGATCGATTTTGTTGCTGATTGATTTATGATACCGATCCGATCGTCAATCAATGAAGAGACATTGTTTCACAGCACCTACTTTTCACAAGTCTCTAATTCACACTCATACACAGACGGACGAAGTGAAATTGAATTAATCAGTTCTTTTTTTCTGTTTCAGTGGTTAACACAAAATTATTATTATTATCATATATTTCGGTCGATTCAGAGAAGAATACAGAAGAGAATGCCAACCAAACGAATTTATCTTTTTTTTGTGATCTCCTCAAAATTATTTAAAGCTAAAAATGGCATAACATTTTTGGCAAAAACACATTTATACATTGTTTGAATAGCATGGCGGCCATAAATTTAAAAAATATACATGGCGACATTTTGGCATTAATTTTTATTTAACACTTTTGGTTCAAAATTGTCAAAACAATTTTTTAACCGCGGCATTTTCTATACGTACTGTCTCACTTTGAATCACTCAGGCATTTATATTTAAGAAAATCATACTTCAAACCACTGAAACAATTGAGTAATTAGAAAAATGTAGACCATTTGATTTAATTGCAATTGATAAGAATTATACAAACAGAAAACACACAAAAAACATGAACAACAAATAACGATTTAGAAAACAAAAATGAATAAAAACAGCCCAAATATCAGGCTTCATTTTAAATGGCATATTTGAAAACTGGAAACAGTTTTGCAATCACTGATGTGATTGGTGCAAATGTATCTATAAGAAAAATGAAAATTGACGTTATAACATTGAAATTTACAAAAAAAATATTTGAATTAAAAATGATGGAAAAACCGATGATATTGAGAGATAGTTAGTTTTGCACATGTGACAAGAATAGAAAAGAATCGAAGAGGAAATTTTGTAATTGACTTAGCCATTAATAGAACTTCATGTGCACATTTGAAGAAAAAGTCTCAAACTAAGCAAGAAAAAAGAAGCAAACAAACAAAAAGATCTATTTTATTTTACACTGGATGAAATTCTGGTCTTTTTCTGGCCATGTAGGTATTTCAATGTATATAAACAAAAAGAGAACCTACCTACGCCAAAAAAGGGATAATAAATTACGGACAAAAATATGATAGAAACATACGTGATTAAGTGTTGTCTTAGTTTGTCATTTCGAAAATTCTATATTTAAAAAAAGAGAGAAACAAACAATAATGACTTGAAAAGGCAGCGCAAACAATTTTGAAATTGAAGCATTTTTTTTTATTTTATGTATACCAACATATGATTTTATTAAAATCTGAAAGAATTATTCCTAAGCCCAACTATTTACTTCCATACCATTAACAAAATGAGAATAAAAAAAAATTAAAACCGATTTATGATGCTTTTGCAAAAACCATAAACATTAAGCAAAGAAAAAATGAATATGAAATCAACGATGCAACATTTATTTTGACAAAAATAAACAAATCAAACATTTAGAATTGTAATAAGGGAAGAAGAATCATCATTGAACCACTTTTTTTTCCTCTTTATTTGACGAATTTATTTTATTTTTGATTTTGAACAATTCGAACACTTAAATTTTACTCATTTCAATATTCTAATTTTAGTAGGTTTTTTCTACTTTTATTTTGACAAAAGAAAACAAAATTATTTGCTTTTATGTATATTAGAGAGTCGTAAGTGATGAATATTATTGGAAACTCGAAATGGAAAAAACACAAATTCAAAATTAGTTTAGCGATAGCAATTCAAAAAAAAAATGAAATTATTATATTATATTGATATTGATGATGATACAATAAAACAAAATCATAATAAAACAGTTTTCTTTCTTAATATTCATTGAAACGTGGAAAATATGGGATGGTAATTTGAGTGATTTCATTTTTAGTTATGTGCGATTTTTGAGCATTATCAGCTACAAAAAATGCACACTTTGAAGTAAAAAAAAATATTTGAAAAAAATTAACCGACTGCTTTTGAAATGGATCGCATTTTAAAATGGAAAAATCGTATGTACCATTTATTGAGTTCGTGGGGACATATTATCGCATTCTGCTTACAACAAATCAATTTGTGAAACATGAGAACATTTTTCCACTTTAAATTGTATTGAAGAAACTTTCTCCTAAGAATGCTTTCCATTTGTAATCCTTGATGGAAAAAGAGTGAACATTACACGTTTCCAGATTTATTGTTGCCTAGTTGTTTGATCGGAATTGTTATGTCTAGCATGCGATAACACCAAAAACTTTTAAGATCATTAAGCGGTTGCGATATATGATGCACACATATACACCGTTACCATTGATTTTCTAGAAATTTCATAAATTTCAGAAGAATTCGAGTATTATAATGACATTCGACGTTTACTATTTGCATACAACACTTTCGAAATATAATTTGTTCTGTTTTTGTTGGAAAATTTAAGTGATTCATCTCCAAAATATTTTCGACTTGTTTTACTTTGAATATTATATATTTTTCACATTTTTGTTGTGTCGTTGAATGTTTTTGTTATTAATTCTTTGGATTATTGGATTAAACGATACTCAATTCGATTGAACTAAATGAAAATGAGCAAATATTTTCATTACAATCGTAACAAAGCACCAACTGTTGTGACCGATATCGGTGTACCGAATAATCAATTAGCTAACCTCTCGTCAAATCAAATGAATGGCAATAATAGACCACATACGTTGAAACCATATCATCGGCCGAAGGCAAAGCAAACCATTGGTGGACACATGAACAACGATGGTGATATTAATTACGAACATCAAATGCAAACATTTGGAGGTATGTCATTCAGATATTTTTTTCACTTTCTATTCATTTTTTTAGGTTATGATTCGCCTAATTACGGTATAATACATTTTTCTTTCATATCTAGACCTCTGTCATACAAATGGTACGCTGAATAGGTTTCGAATGTATCGGTCAATACAGCACAATGCAAAACGGAACCAAGCCGAAAATGTATGGAAACCGTCATTCTTTCAAAAACATGAAACCGATGGAAATGCGGTTGAATTATATAAACAAGTACGTTTGATTTTAAATCGTTTGACATCACAAAATTTTGACATTTTGGCAGAGAAATTCCAACGCTTGGTTATCGATACGAAAGAGAAATTGATCGAAGTGATTAATTTGATATTTAACAAGGCAGTTAATGAGCCCAAATTTATGGAAGGCTACGCCAAATTATGCCAATATTTATCGCATTGTTCGAAGAAAATTGATTTATGGGCCGGCGAACGTGCATATTTTAAACGCATACTCATCAACAAATGCCAAGTCGAATTTGAACAGCATGTGGCCAATAAAAATACAACCAAAGCGGCTCTTGTACCACTCATGGAAAAAATGAAGGCATGCCAAGAACAAAACGATCAAAATGGCATCAAAGATATCAACGTCCATATAGTGGAAGAAGAATCAGCTTTCAGACGGCGTTTGGTTAGTACAGTCCATTTTATCGGTGAACTCTATAAATTGGATATGTTAAGAACGAACACTATGAACGTGTGCATTAGAAAATTGATTCGTGAAGGGACGCGGATTAATTCGAATCCATCACAAGCAAATGAGAAATTGGAATGTCTTTGCAAATTATTGACAACAGTTGGCGGTAAACTTGAACAAAAATCAATACAACAGTCGAATGGCACGACGGCCCAATATTTAGATCTTTCCAAATACATAATTCAGTTGAAGCGGATTGCTGACAACAAAGCCGAACATTTCAAGGCCAGCAACCGGATCAGGTAGGCAAATTCCATTTCTTGATAAAATTGATATATTTGTGCGTTCTTTCTCTTTTCTTGACTAGGTTCATGATTATTGATCTCATTGAACTACGCAAAAAGAACTGGATGCCAAAAACAGGTACCAAAACCAATCAATGAACGCAATACAACATCGGTCGGGATAGTTCATATTTGTTGAGAATTTAGTTCAAAACCAATAGAAATATTGAAAATAATTTTAATAATTATATTTTTTTTGGTAGAAAATTTGAGAAAAATAACAAATAAAAGTAATTGCAAAAAAGAAACTGAATGGAAATTCTCTTCATTTTTTTAATAAATCTCCAACGATGTGCATATGTTTTTCACTTTATCGAACAGAGTCAAAAGATTTCCGAAGCGACATTTGAAATGAGGCCATTGTCATAGAAAACAGAGTATTCTGTACGGAATGAGGATTATTTTCAAACAGGGTTCAGGATGGAATACCCTATGTAATTTTCAAAGAAAATTCCACGAAACGTATTTTTAAGGATAGAACAACTTTTATACAACCATTTTTTTGAGGACCAACAATTTATTTGATTTTGTGTTTGAGAGAAAAAAAACTTTACTTTGGTCTGCATCATGGTAATACAACATTGCTGAAATTCAAAAAGGAGACATGCATAAATTCCAAATGGCGAAAGCAATTCAAGAGTATGGCACAACGGAAGTTGGCCAAAGTGGAATTTTTTGAGCATTTTATGTCTCAATATTCATTCATGCTCGAGATTAGAAATTCCAGTGACTTTAAAAGACCAGCGACGAATTAATATGAAATATTCGGCATATATAAAAATGGAAAAAATGCTGAATTCATTTCAAACAAAAGCAGTACATTTACCGCCCCTATGATCAGGTGAGCGAAACTAATGCGATAATATGGCCAAAAAATTAAGCCATCAAACATCAAATGCATAGATATGAGTGAAAAATCGGCAAATGTGTGTGCATGTGTAGCATTTAGAAGTGTGAATGGAAGAGTGACAGTATGCAAATTAAGCAATTCGCTCACATACCAAACAGCAAAATGGATGCGTCGAAATCATTAATATCTGTAACAGTAATTCTTTGAACGGCTATGTATTGGTGTGCATACAAACGAATTTGGAACATAGCACTTTTCATTTGCAAAAAGTCGTAAATCATTAGGTATTCCTATTCTATCAGCATCGCCCAGTCTTAAATAGGCAATCGAAGCAAACAGTTAGCATTCTTTTCTGTGCACACATCATTTGTTGAATAATTGTTGTTTTTTGTCTGCATTTCACGTCGACTAATTAAACATTTCATCGTCAAGCATTTTTGTTTTCAATATATTCGATTTAATTTGGCATTGTTTTGATTGATACTCAGCGAATAAAAAAAAACTTGTCGCGACAAAATGAGTCCATTAGCACCGCAAGTAAGCAGTACACTCGCATTGTTGAACGGCTCCAAAAATGAAGAACCAAAAATAATCGATACCGAGAAACATGTATACTCAGTGACTGATTTGATTGAGATGCGTCACGATCGAAGCCAAGCACCGAATTTAAATAACAGCAATTTGCTTGCATTAATCACCCGTGGCGAGCCCGGTGCGCCGAAATCGAAATTTACCAACATGATCAGTTTCAATCATCGGCCAATAGTACGGCATCACAATGGTAGCTTCATGAGCAACGGTAGCAGCTTTAACGGCGAACGCCAACGGCATTCAATTCGAGGTAAGCATGACAGACATTTTTCTCTCTATTGTTCACCCAAATTTTGAGGTTATGACTAATTACCGCTTGCCGTACATTTTCTTCTTCTTTGTTTGTCATGTATAGACAGAGGTCATACCAATGGTACGCACAACGGTGTTCATATTCGTATGTCCATTAAAAGCGATGTAAAGCTCAAGGAAGCGGAAAATGCATGGAAACCATCATTTTTGCAGAAAAATGATAAAAATGATGATGGTGAAGCAGAAGAACTGTACAAACAAGCACGTTCGATTCTAAATAAATTGACGGCACAAAATTTCGGCATTTTGTCAGAGCAATTTCAAAGCTTGAAAATCGACACAAAGGAAAAGTTGGTCGGTGTTATTAATTTAGTGTTTAACAAAGCAGTTAATGAGCCGAGTTTTTCGGAAGGATACGCTAAATTGAGCCAATATTTATCGCATTGTTCACAACAAATCGATTCATCGTTGACAGAACGTGCATATTTCAAACGTACGCTTATTAACAAATGCCAAGTCGAATTTGAACAGCATGTGGCCAATAAAAATACAACCGAAGCGGCCCTTGCACCACTCATGGCAAAAATGAAGGTATGCCAAGAACAAAACGATCAAAATGGCATCAAAGAAATCAAAACTCAAATCACAGAAGAGGAATCAGCTTTGCGACGACGTTTGGTTAGTACAGTACGTTTTATCGGTGAATTGTATAAGCTGGATATGTTGACAACAAACATTATGAACGTGTGCATCCATGCCTTGATTCGTGAGGCAGCACCGAATCAATCGAACACATCACAAGCCAATGAGAAGTTGGAATGTGTCTGCAAATTGTTGACAACGGTTGGCGGTAAACTTGAACAGAGGTCTGCCGATAATGTACAAAATTTGGATCTCACCGTCTATATGAACCAACTGAAACGTATTGCCGACAACAAAATTCGCAATTTCAAAACTACCACTCGTATCAGGTAATTTATATTGAGTAAAGGCTCATTTGACACTAAATTCCTCTAAATACCTGCTTATTCTTTGCTATTATGACATTTTTCATATTATATTTTTGTGCTCTTTTCTTGGTTAGATTCATGATCATGGACGTCATCGAACTACGTAACAACCAGTGGAAGCCGAAGAAAACCATCGCACAGATAAGTCAATGAAAACGGCACAGCTACAAATGCCATTGGACGATGGTATTCGAATTGAATTCCTAATTTACCCCATTAAGATTTATTTTGTTTTTACTATTTCGAAAACATTTTCCACATAAGCTAGCAAACAAAAAGTAAGAAAAAACTTGTATACTAATATTGAATGTACAAAAAACCTTCCAGTTCGAATTGTGTTAATGTTTCCCTTTTATTTTATTTCTATTGATATAATATATGTTAGTTGGTTCTTGGTATTTTTTTATTTGCAAAAATAGTAGTTTCTATCACATTTTGTAAAAAGTGTTCATGTGTCCTTGAATCGTATACGCAGAAAATAGACGTTATTAAATATATTACATGAAAGGAACAAAACACATGAGTGGTGTTGATTTTTTTCATGAAAATTTATTGCGACAACGCATTCCGATGTCGATTTGTTATTTTATTAATTTTGAAAACGTCGAACAATAAAGAAGGAAATGTAATTATTTAGACTCAATTGATAAATGTCGTTGACATTGTAATTTCATAAAGAAAATTCGAAACAATTCCAGCATATATTTGTTTTGTAGATATTTTTACATTCAAATGTTGCTTAAAAAATGAGACGAGATTTTTATTGAATTACATTCTGTACATATCATATCTGATTGATATTGATGACATTTCCAAATACATAGAAATTTATTATTCTCAATTAAAATAGAGAATACATAGTTTTTCATAAAATAAAAAAGGTGTACAATATAAAATCCATTTTGCTCATAAATAATAAATCGTTAATTTAATCGAACTTTGCATAAAAAACGATATTTTGTTCGTTCGTGAATTTTAATTAATTAAGCAATAAAAAATTAAAACTTATTGTAATTAACATGCTGAATTGATTTAGAAAGAAAATTGGTTTGGTTTTCATTTTTTGAATTCCTATGTCTATTTTTAATGTTTTCTATTGACCTATTGAATCTATTTTGATTATTTCATGAAATAAAAGTATTTTAACAGCGCAAGAGATTATCGATTTTTGATTGAATAAGTGTGGAAAAAAGGGAATATTTTATGAAATGTTGCTTCAGTGACTATGAGAAAACTGCTGGCACAATTATATATTTCGTGGTTAATTTGGCAATATGCTAGTTTTGAATGTTGCACACATAAACATACATGGCATGTCAGTTAAAATACAGTGCTGTGATTGCGTTGAGTTTATCGCATTTAAATATTAACAATTACGTGAAACAAGTGGACCAATATTTTACGGGTAAAATAGCCATTAGTGTTTGGCGCGAATATTCTGTTTACGACAAATGAACGCACACTCCATATAAAATGCATACGCATTCGGGAATGAAATGTAGCGGTGTGCTATCGATGAATAAATGTACAGAAAACCGGGCTTATTTTTAATTTATAATTGTCTGTCGCTATTGCAACACCACCAACACGCATACACACAATCTCTCTATTTCCCTCAAACATACATCCGATGCGAGTGAAAAAATCAATTGTAAAAAAAATGGCACGGAATCTCAATGGGAAAGGCAAGCACAGAAACACTCGAATGGGAATGATTGAGAGCAGAAAATGGTTCAGTGTTGATGTAAAATATATTCCAAACTGCATTAATATTTAAAGTTTTATCTTTTCACAGGTTGGTCGGTGTTCGAGTAGGGATTGATGTTGATCATTTTTTTCTCTCACTTTAGCCAAACATTCTCCGGTTACGTAATAAATGACAAAGATTAATGCATTCGTTGAATTAATGGCATTGGTTCAATAGGGAAATATATACACACATATATATTTATATGTGCTAAAATACACTACTACTTTCAAAGCAATTGAAATGAATTTAAAGTAAAAGCTTTATTATTAAGCGCACTTAATATATGACATGACATGGTGCGTTTACTCGCAAAAGAATTATATATTTTTCGAATGGATAGTTACGATCACAAACAAACATTTCTTTAATGTCAACGCTAATTGCTCCATTTAAAATAAACGCCGCTTTTTCCCACTTCGCTGGCAAGACAAAAAAAATTTCGGTCGAGTGCGAGAATATAGAGATGAAATGCATGCTGGTTAAATTGATGTAATAGGGAATTCATGGAGCATAATTCACTGTTGAAAATGAAAATTAACTGCAAGCGACGTGTGTGCATGAAAAATGTAAATTAAACGAAAATATATGTTACCGATAATATGTGTCAAGTGCTCTGTCGAGATAGGGAGAGAGAGAGAGAATAAATATAGGTTTGTAGTGTTGAATTTTTAAATAAAATTCCTGTTACCGCCATTATTTCGTTGATTTTATTTTTTGCTATGCGTTTGTTCGTCGGAATTTGCGAATTCACTTAATCTCTGTTGAACAAACTAATCCCGAAACTAATTCAAAACTGTTCACGATTTCACATTCTAATGAATGCAATACGTGTCAATAGCCAAGGATATGCTGTCGCAATGCAAAATTCAACGATTTCATTGAATCGAATGAAAATCTGAATGTTTGTCGTTTGCTTGTACTGAATGCAAGTAAATGGATGTGGATGTTAAAAATTTTTAAATTGTACCAAAATCGGAAGAAAAAGAGTATGTGTTTGAGTAGGGAATCAAATGAGACCATATTGACGATAAGTGAGGAGTGGTACTCTTGGTGCAAAATACATTGAATGCTTTCAAATATTTTTCATCAATTTCAACTTCATTAATTTTGGTAAACGACTTCGACACTTGAAAAATGCGATCGACATTGTGGCGACTATGAGCGGCCCATGGTACAACAGAAAAACCAATAAAGCGTCGAGTACCATTAAACACCTTTAAGCTGTATCTATTCCCTGGCCGCCCCATTTAGCAAATTCGAGTATGCGGTAGCATATACAAACGTAACGTAAAAAGTCAAGCCAATGATGAAAAAAAATTGAAGAAAAAATGAGAACATCAAGACTATCGTCGTACACAAACAGACAAAAAAATCGCTTCGGTAACACATAAATTGGTTATTTTGAGTGGTTCTTTCAGCTGGCAATCAAACAGTACTCGATGTTTCCGCATTTCTTCACACACAATCGAATAAAGTAGATGAATCGAAGTACACACTCATTCAACGGATTACACAAATCCCAACATGAAAAGAGAAAACACGAGCAGAAACACGAAAAATCACTTCACATCAAACTCAAAATCATGAATTCAATCCGATTTGTACAGATTTTGTATTTTCAATCTGATTTTCACTTCAGATACAAAAATAAAATACCTTTAAAAAAATAATGCAGTAGTGGTAACCACACCAGAATCTATTAATAGGTGCAAAATTACAAAACATATCAATCGCAATGAGATTTTATTGCCTTCGTTCTTTATACCTTCGCAGCTTTCAGGCGCATTTGGATCAATACCTTCAACGGCTTTATATTAACGAATCTCTTATCTATTTTTCTATTGGTGCATTCACGAATTTTCATTTACCAAATGCATTGTTTCGAGTTTTCGGCGAACAGCAAAAGATGAACATCACATAAATTGCAATGTTATACATCAATCTCTTAGCAACCCCTTTCAATGAGACTAAAAATAGTTCCTGTTTCGTTTTATTGACAGCCGCAGGAAATGTTTTTCAATTTTGCTACTCACACAACAAAGATGCACTTTTCCCAATTCCAAATTTAGTTCTCTTGAATGAGAAAAAAGGTAGAGTGATGTTTTCAAAATGAAGGATTCCTGGAACATTGATGTTGAATAGCAAGTTTCTTTCAACGTTTCTTTTATTATTAGTTTGAAACCATTTTTCAAGTTTTTTATTTTGCGTGCGTTAAATACTTTGTAATTGGAATTTATTCAAACAAAATCATTTGTGGAAGTAAAATGAATCGAATTAATTTCGAAGAGCTAGAATTGCTAATATATCTATCGTTAATAAAGAAGTATAAATTGTCAAAGATGTATGTGTTGAATAGAGAATCGTCAAAAAGGTTTCATGAAAGGAATTATTGTGGAATGTAAGAAAAGATTAAAAGTGCTCAAAGAGCTCATTTTTTTATAAAGCATACTCTCTCAAAAATATCGAAATATCTTGATATAGCATCAAAAAATATGATACTTTGCAACATGATGAAAGTTCAAACAAATTCAGAGATGACACAAAAAAATCATTCCACATATTTTTCAAATAAATGCTGTTTTTTTGTTCTAAAAGGGAAATTACTGTGAATGAATACAACTCTTTTATTTGATAAAGTATATAGGTATCATCATATTGCATACCAATCAATGTTTAAAAAACGAACTTCATGAATCTGAACTGAAATAGAGCACGTGTAGAAGCAGTACAATATGCCATTCATGACATATTAAAGAGACTCATGAATCGATAGAATCTCACTTTTTCTCAAAAATAAAAATCAATTTCATTTTTTTGCTGTGCGTCGTATGCAAGCGCAATAATAATAATCGATGACACAGTTACACCACATGGAAAATTGTTAAGAACCGCACACGAATATACCTGTCGTAAATGACGTCATAGTTACCAAAAAGGGAATTTACTTTTCCCTGAGGCATTGAAATACAGCACGAATCAAGTCGACAACGTCTACTATCCGGTTGTGACTTGCATACGGTTTACTATTTACTATAAGTTCGGGTGGGTCAGTACTTTAGAAATATTTGTTTGATTACGAAGCATTGATTCCAGAGAAAATGTGAGAATTCTGTAGCTAATATCAAGCGATTCGAGTATTACTCGATATACAAACTTCATTTTGCTCAATAAATCAACTTATATATGGATTGTGGAAACGTAAACTTTTATAAATTCCCATTGTATAAGGATTGTCCCATTTCCGATAGAAACGCTTGATATTAGCAACGAGACCCTTCAAGGTGTAATTTTATTATTTAAAATTAACATAGAAATTTCCAGAAACAATTTCAATACAAAAAACCGTCGTCGAGAAAATGAAAAGCTGAAAAAGGGTATTGTCATTAAAAATAAAGGAGTTAATGTAAACATTTCGGTTAGATAATGTAGCCTGCAGGTGAATTATATAGTTGCACCCTATCCATGTTATTATAATGCCATAAAAAGAAATGGACAATCTGTTGTGATCTGAAAAATGTTCAAATTACTTTTCTTAACAGCACGTCCTGTTTCTATTTTTCGGTATTCTTCCAAATAATGATTGCTATTTTGAGTAATACGAGCGTTCGTTCTATGCCAAGGTTCCGAGTGCTCACAAATAGTCGAGTTGAAATCAAGCTTTTTTCCGTTTAAATGTATAAGAGAAGAAATTATTGCCAATAATAATAATTTTTAAAGATTAAAATCTGGTTCAATATTAATTTGTCGAACCGAAAGCTGATTATAATTAAATCGCAAAAAATCGATATGGATTTCGCGTGAAATCGTGCTGCATCTGGAAAATATTCGTACAGGAATTAAGGATAATTAGTTCAATCAGCTCGAGTACACTGAACAATATTCGCTATTTTTATTTGCCATAGAGGATTTCTACTCCGTTAATGATAACGTACTCCGGTTTTGTCTTTATCCACCCGTCGATGCGGACCTTTTTCGCACATAAAAAGTCAAATGCGATAACACAAATTTATGTGCACTTTTTTCCATGGATAAATAATTTCACGAATAGTGCTATATTCGACGAACAATAATAGAACGCAATTACTACATGAACCGAATCATTCGTTGATATTAAGTTTCTAGTTCGAATTTTTTTTTGTGAAAAATTCAATTTAATTATTTGCTTTTCATCTAACGCGTAGTATTGGTT